TCTTTGCTCGATTCAATCACCGTGTGAGAGAGCTCCGATGACGTCAGAAGGAGAGGTAAAAGAAGAATTAAACGTATTGGTTGATAAAGGGTGACAGAAAGGCAAGGACATTCAGAGGAAGCATAACAAATTCAAATCCCATGAACTAGATACTCATACTGGGTTTTTTAGTTATTATTGTTCAAGAATCGATAAAATACACCGCGGAATAGTCCCTATACTGGATGAAAATATCTCAAGCACAGTGCAACCAGTAAGAGTGGGGTGGATAAAAAGGGAGTACACAAGACGCAATGGTCTTGAAAGACACACTCCGCAAGAGTGAACTAAAATAATGCAAGAATGCAAGCCAAAACCACTTCACAAATCCTGTTTCAAAGACTAATGCTTTCCATAATTTAAGTGTTGTGAAGTATATCAGGTCGTATGATAGAATAGAATTAAGAGAGGATTATTTAAATTTCTTCGACACGGGGTACAGAGTAGATGCAGCTAAAACACAAAACATGTTCTAGTCAAGCAAAGTCTAAGTTGAAGTCTAACACTGCTTGTTAATTATTTTATACACAAGTTTTCAATGGCGTACTTAGTGCATGTTTACCAGAACCATTGTGGAACCCAACACAATACAAAAGTTGACAGTGGGATCTTTGTTTTCAGGAGATGACCACGTTGACTGAAGAAACCTACTGGCCGACGCTTCGAATGCGCTGGAGAAATCCGTCTACAGGACAAGATATAATTCAACTTGACCGTTTACTTCCTCTTCTCTTATCTCTTCGTCTGTATTCTCCCTGTGTTGCAAGGTCTTAGTTTCTCCGGTGGCTCCCATAGTCCGGTGAACTGCCCGCGGTCCTCACGTTGACGTTACATCAGTATGGGACTCACGCGCCGCTCAGGAAACGCACATTCTCTTCCTCACGACCGCCGGAACCTTCCGCGTCCATACGTTATTTGCATAACGTCTGTTCACCTTTTACAACTGATGTTATGAGTGTGTGTTATAGCTGTGCACATGTAGTCTGGAATGCAATTAGTTCATGTCACGGGAAATCAGTGCATACTGTTCTAGTTCCTTCTTATTGCTGGGAAAGACAGATTTCCCTTAGAATGTGGGGGTGGAGGGATGGCTGATCACGTCTCTCTTGCGCTGTGCTCTATAACACTATTTGTATATCAACTATATCTCTGTTGCGCGCACACTGTATGTCTATCTACTGATCGATTCCAAAATACGAAGGGCTGTGAGGCATCTTAAGCTTAAGGGGTTCGCACTATGATCCCGTTTGAGTGAGACAAAATAATAATTAGGGTTGGCCAAACAACTTTTCACCTATGGGCCTAATTATCATGGCCTGTGGCACAAATTGCCACTGCACATGGAAAATCTCATCCCATAAGACATGACAATAATGTCTTGAGTCATATCTGTCTTAGTCAATGTGTAACTCATTATGTCGCCTATTTGGATATCGATAATGAACACATCATCAACTCATCCTCTTCTATCATGTGATTAATGTGTATTGCATTGTCACCGTATCGTAACTTATCAAATGCAAATCGCCGTGCGTTCGTCACACGGGATTAACGCAGGAGATCGTCTTATTCCATGGTCACACCATCGATGTATAATAGTCTATCTAGATAACTAATACATCGATTAGTAGCACACACTCAATCACACGGATCAACATATGAGTCAAGTTATAACATTAGCCCGCCAATGGACACGGTTGATTTTGGGAGGCAATCAACTACAGGAAGTGTTCGAGACAGGATATTTCGCATGAGGAACTCTAGTTTCTATATAAAGCAAAGCGGTGCCTTTGTGGGAAATTTAACGAGATCGTGAAATGGGTTTACGTTCTTTAGTTCGAACTGAAACTATAAAACAAACATTTTATTGGAACTTGGGCGATAATATCTGACAATCAAACCACTACCATTAGTGAATACCGCGGCCGAAGCCCGTTAGTTTTCCCTATGTCCTTACAACGAGAGTTTTACCATTCGTTGTCACAGTAACATAGCATAACCAACGGTATTGGTGTTTTACGATAGTGCAGTTGTCCTATCCAAGGAGAACCACCACCAACCTCAACACATTGTCAACCTACACAGAGTGACATTCCCCGCCATCCAAGAACCGGCAAGTTAACGTTCGGTGTTTACGCAAACTTGAAAAATCGTCAATGGGAATGGTAGTGAAAAAGAGTGTTAAATTTCAGATTAATTATGAGTAATAACAGACAATTATGCCATAGGCTATGGTAAACGGGTAAGAGCAGAAATTGACAAGTCTTGCTATTTGACTACGTCACGTAGTAGCAAAGAAAAAAATGTATATGTAAAAATGTATAGGTATGTATAGGTATTGTTCAATAGTGGTAGTTGAGTCTACAGCGACAAATTTAGAAAATACTCCTGTATATGAACAAGAAAACCTTTACTTCTGCTCCGTATTGAACTGTAATATTCTTACACAATACATAGTTCAACAAGTATTCGCTTAGAATATATCAGTATGATGTTTAAGTACAATATTCTTCATGCAAATATGGGAAGGTGAGTTTTACAGTCTTCACGTATACCAAACTAAAATGTCTTGGGAAATTTGACAGTTGGGTTAGTTAGTTTCGTGATGTTTCAGTACAGGGAGCCGAAAACCGCACCGGACTGAGGCTGTTCCAGGACCATGTCATCTGGGTTACGATCGCAAGATGTTACGGACATTTCGGTATCAGAGCCTATGAGTTCGCATGTGTTTCGCCGTCGTCTGGTCGTGGTCGGTGGTCGACCTTGAGTGACCCGTCAAGGTCGTCACGCTCCGACGTGCGTTAACACCCTCATTACTCTCGCAGACTCGCCGCTCTGCCCTCCTAGCCACCACGGCTACGACCACCGACCGTGCGATTGGCGGTGCCGAAAAACATACCGTCTTGAGTTGTAGCATGGGTATGGGTTATTGCACACATTTTCCAAACGGATTAGTAAAACACGAGTTTGATCCAAATATTGTCGGACCTCATCTTCATGTAATTTTACCCCCAATTGTGATGCGCGTTTCACTATCTAATTACTGACTGAAAATTACGGGGAGATCCTACAAAACCAATACACCATAAGACAATGTCAATGTGTGTGATGACGCGTTTGCGTGATACTGTGATGACCACCCTTACCCTATCTCAAATTGGAAAACTGGAAGGATTGACCACTCCGCGCAACCGGTAGGTGCCCTATTTCCAAAATACCCTTCCTCGCTACTTGGTGGAACCCGAGTGGCAGTTTAGGGGTTTTGCAACCCTGCTAAACTTACCTCTATAATCCGAACTAATGATGGTGGCGGTTTAAAAGTCGGTCATAAAACTTGTGGCAGTGTGATAAAAGCCATTAAATTTGATTCGGACTCCTATAAAAACTATATATAACTCGATTCTAGCCTTCGCACCGCCATGATTCCCTTTAAGAATTAACAGTTCTGACAATTTTACCACGTTTTCTCGGTAGTAAGCGCCACAATTAACTGCAGGTATAATGAGTTTTGAGACGACGGGTTGGTTCCCGCCGGAATGCGCAAGATGGCCGACTTTCCCGCCAACTGAAGGTTATGCAACTTGGCGGTATCTGATAGCTGGTCTCGTGAGGCTTTCATTTTACAATCCGTATCTGTATGGAATTCAAACCATTTATTTGCTTTCCCAATAACTACTATGGGTGTTCCGCAAACAAAAGACGAAGAGACGAGGCGAGACTTTACTACAGGTTTTCATAGTGACTTTTCTTGAATTGAAAGGTTTTAAGAGTTAAGTACCCTGCAAAATACAAGATTTCGTCACAAGGCATTAAGCCGATGACAGTAGCACAAGAAATAGAATATAATGCTGTGAAAACATTTGGCCTATCTGCAAACGATAAAAAACCTACCTTAAATTAAAATGGAGCAATTAGTCCTAAAATTAGACAAATGTAAGTTAAAATAAAGATACAATTACAATAAGACAACACAAATCTTTTTTTAAATAAGCACGTACAATTGTGTCACCGAAGTGATGGAACAGAATAAAAAACAGCTTTACCCCCACAACTCGAGTTACAGGCATTTTAAGTACTGTATAATATTAACACTGCCTTACCTAACCTTGCATAGCGTAGTGTATCATTTTAATAGTGACGGGCCTGGTAAAACCCCTATGAGAGCATTATTAACACTCAGTTAAACCGTTAAACAATATGTTCATTTAGTAACATAATTATTCGTTTTACAGTCTCGTTATAAAATCCTGATGTATATGACATAATTGTTTCTAAAACATCGTCAGCATCGTGTTTGGCGCGCGCTCCCCTGTTTAAGAGCCTGCTTATAGCTAGACAGGTGATGGTACGCCGCGGAAGTGATCAGTTATTTCTGCCGCTACAAGATGGTCCGGAAACAAGGCGATGTTTGCCAGTGATAATATCTCCTCCCAAGAGTGCCGTTGTACATCCTTCAACAGCCCTCCTCAGGGCACGTATATATATATAAAGTCTTCCGAGACCTTGGAAGACACTGAGAAAAACTGCCTTAACAGCTAAAACAATGCAATAGGCTGAGTAGCTATGCAGATATAGAACAGGTCTCAATGTTGCAGCGATGTTATGGTGGTCAGAAAGTCCTTTTTGTTCTCTCAAAGTATTGATAATTTAAATAAAACTCGTCCATTTAAAACTATTAAAAATGTCACAGTCTTTACCTACTATTTTTCCTAAGCTAAAAGTAGAATAACTCTAGAATTCACAGTAGCTTTCGTCGTCAACCACGTCGTCAGTTTGAAGATTGCTACCAACCGTTTCGCCTTTATTGTCATCCTCAATCCCTAGGAAGAGGCCGAAAACCATATGGATTCTCAAGGCACCGACCGCTTACCTACAAACACGCTTTTTTACAAGTATGTGAACTAAGAATACATTACAACAGAGAATCAAAATTTGTAAATAAGTAAAACTAAAGGTCTTACCTTAATTTCGTGGTATTTTTCTTCCAAGTAGTAAGCAATGTTCCTCGCTTCCTCGTACTTCTGGGATATATCCAAATACTTCTCGTAGTGTCTCTTGAACAGCACAAATCTGCAACAATATTCCGTGATGAATCAATTGAAACAACATTGCGTAGATATTGCGATCGGAAATCATACTGTTTTATGATTTGTTGATTGTTATGAGCGAAGCACAATAATTTAGTAATAATTATTATCATCAAATTTTTCAAATATCTGAAAAGTACAGTTGCCGTCATTAAATCATTTTATAACTCTTGAGAGATTAAATACTCATAAAACGAGTTCTCAAGAAGACATTTTCATCTCGCAAGTTAGGTCGAAAGTTTAATAATCATTGCTCAAGTTCACTGCTGTTTCGGTTGAGTTCGAATTGTTTGGGAATAAAAACTGTACCGGATTTCAATATCAGGTAGTTTTCCCCACGGGGGACGGGAGTACGGTAATACCATGAATTAGAATAACCATACGACGTTACTTGGTTGGTAGTAAACAATGAGTCGGAGAACATATATCCATGCAATGTTCGGGATATGGAATTTTATATCACAGAAAGACAAAGAATCAGACACCGTAGACCCGTCATTTAATATGTTCTTGAATCGTGCTTGAAAGTTTATTGAACAATAAATTGCCTTATTACACTGCATGAACTAGAGTTTATCACGAAGTGTACATGGAGCTGTACTGGCTAAATTAACCGCGGATCTTAACCTTATCATAGCTACTAAAGACTCATAATAGCTCTATTCTACTCTCATCTTTCAATCATATTTCGGTAACACTACGGCAATTTTGGTCCAATTTAAATTTGTTAGGTGGTCATTATGTAATGTATAAAGTAGGAAATTTACTGTCTTGAATTTAAGTCCGATTAACGTTCGGATAACGTGTATTGAAAACCATCATTGTTGAAAACCAGTTCCTTAGATTAGGGCCTATAATTAACTTCGTAATATAAACTGGCAGTTTAAAACTGTTGTGCAGGCGTTTTAGCTTACGTTGGAAACGTGCACTCATAATACAGATTGTTGAAATATTCTATTCTACTATATTGTGGGATTAAAATGCTCAATTCCAAATTGGCAAGGCCATGATGCAAACCAGTAGGGGACCATAGGCAAAATAACTGGCTTCAAAATGTACGAGTATTATAATCATGTACCGTATACTATAAATAAAGGCAAAGGCAGCATATTATGCAATAAATAAACAAACAGGAGACTGATAGCAACAGCGGCACGGATGTAGTGATTTGCTACGAGGATATGGAACGTGATCAAACTAAATCGCCACCATTGAATGTCCCCATCCTTACAAAGGTAAAACTGAATTTTAAAAAAAGTATGAGGATTTTCATATGAATGGGCATGTATAGACGAAATAATCTTAAACATTCACGGGGTGTAATTAAAAGTACGGTAGTATAACCGATAAAACGCGTCCCCCATAATAGATGCATTTTCTAGGCAAAAAAGTGGAATATTAAGATGTCTTTGTCATTAAAAAATTATTCGACAAATCAAAGTTTTATTGGTAAAAGTTTTATTGGTAAACTGAATTAAGATCGGCGAGATATCTATGACAAATATGTAGGTAGAAAAGGATGGAAAAGGCAAGGTTAATTTGCGAGAAGAAAATAAGTACCGTGCGCAGAGTTTAACAAATGTAATAAGCCGAAATAATAATTAGTGTTCGGCTTGAATACAAACCTTAAAAAAAAGTTACTGACATATTTCGGAGTCTGGGTCTAACCGGACTACTTCTAAATCCGTCGGCACTATGACCAGTAACTCTCTTAAATCCAGCCGAGAACATCCTTGCCGAATTCGTCTTCAGCACCACATCTTCACCATAGAACTGTTGTAATATCCTACATGCTTTTCACACAAGGATCAGTTAAAGCTGTTTTCCTAGCTGCCGAACTCGGCTGCTGAATACGGCTGCGACGTGCGGGTGTGACTGTAGTTTTGTATGGTACAGTAGTACTGAACAGTACTGTACGTATTTTTCACGTCACCTCCCGAATTCAGCGGCAGGGAAAATAACAGTAACCAGACCAATAGGAGTTGGTACCGAAAAACGCTGCACCTAGTCAGTCAAGTACCCACGTAGAGACGGTAAAAACTCAACTACCATCTCTAAACAGAGAAGTTCTGAGGTGTCTGTTTATTTTGGACGAGATGTAAACAAACACCCTATAGTGGCTCTTCTCCCGCGGACAAACAAGGTATTATTTTCTTTTATTTGTATGTGCGAGGGAAGCGGATAATCTAGAGAGAGTTGGGCTAGAAAGAGCAGTGGGTGTGAGGGCGTCATTTCCATCAGAATGGGAAGAACCACACTGCCACCGCGACGCGCGTGAGAACGAACCTTTTGTTCCAAACGGTTCTGGGTCAATCGGCGTTCGGAACTTGGAGGGAACCGGATCCGTAATGAATGATGACTCAGAATTATTCACAGTAATAGGGTACATAATGATCCGAAATTTAAAATCGTATTCCATTACTGACAATCATATATGTAGGGTGTCTATTTAAGCGCAACTCATTTTTACAATGAAATCAAGAATTTTACAATAGATTAAACCATAAATTTAAAGGTACTCCTTTGATCTATGGTTTTACTACGTTTAAAGGTACTCCTTTGATCTATGGTTTTACTACGTTTAAAGGTACTCCTTTGATCTATGGTTTTACTACGTGACAGTTACAAGAAGAAGATAGCGTTGCTCATGTGCTCTTTTTGGCAGAATTTTTCTGAGACTACAAAGGAAGCATTATTTGGAGGATCAAATAGGCCTATACCAAACCTTTGGGGTTAAAATATGTCACACATTTGCAAGGTGGTGTAGTATGTTCAACCATGTATAAGTTTAAATTAACCTTAGTAAAAATAGAAATTGTGGTCATAGCCTATCTGCTTTTTGACTTAAATCGCCTTGGTTATCACACCAGTAGCCCACAAGCTAGATTAAACCATAGCAAAACAACAGTGTTTCCATTCGCAGTATCTAGATACCAGAGAATTGAAGGCTGTGAATAAGTAAACAAAGCCCCAAGAGGGATGCAGCTACTCAGATAATTGACTTAGAACATGGATGTGAAGTGAAGACTGAAGACTAATGTCAAGAGGAAAAGTGGGCGTGAAAAGACCAGAGGTCCTGGATGCAACCTGTCTAAGAAAATTCTTAGCAATAATAAACAAAGAAAGGAGGTGATGTCAAAAAGGTCAAGATAGGCACCTAAAATGAACACTGCAGACTTAGATGTGCACCTTCAGAAAATGCAGCAAGAAAACATGGATACAGTTACTTGGAAAATTGATGCAGAGGTTGGTTTCGAAATAGTGAAACTTTGGTCCAGCAAAGGGCCAAATTTAACTACAGGATTACCTTATTAATGATAGATAATTAGGGATTCGGCAAAAGACCCCGGTGAGGATCAGGCTTTTTGAAATAAAATCCCGCAAACAGCAAAAAGGCTAAACATAGCCCGCCTTCTGAATAGGTCGCAGTTACCCGTCAGCCACTAGATCATTAAAACTGCATTGAGTCTTATCGAGCCCTTCACACTTACGGGTTGCAGCGACCCTAGGTCCTAAACTTAAGTTACCTACTTCATGGTTCAAAAATGGGTCTACATAGTTTTCCTTAACCATTCGGTTTTTAATAAGTGATCCTACATAAAGAATGAAATTATATTAATTAGTCAACTAAGATAAAGCTTTTTTATAAATCTTTCACACATATATTTCGCATCAATCCTGTGGCCTACTAATCCTTCATTCATATTTCCTTTAAATGCATATTTTTAAAAGACTGATTTGTCGTCAGGATGGATGAATTATTAGTCGGCCTATATACTGAATACAATAAGGGTTTTGTTTACTTTCCTGTTAAAGGGAGCATTAATTATCATCAATGATTTCTTTTCTATACATTGATGATTTCTTTTTGATACATTGATATTTTTTTCTATCGATAGGCTATATTGATTAGGCCTATAACAAATTGAAACATATCATCTGACAACTACGATAACGATACAGTAAATAAATATTGTTCAGTATCAACAAACAATAAAAAAAATTAAATGAAATTAAACTGTTCTAAACTAACCTAACCAACCAAACTTGCTGTAAGTTAACATTTCAACATTCCGTTTGATAAATTATTTCCCATATGCCTTTTCTGTTATCAAACGGAATTTTGAAACGGTAACTTAGTCTATAGCAAGTTTGGTTAGTTGGTTGGTTTAGAATAGTTTTATTTCCTAATCCAATGATGGGCTATTATTTTTGTCTAAACAAGGTTAGTTCCTAATTTGTTTAAATGCGTTTGAAGATATTAAAACAGAAGGAATACGGATCGTGAAGTAAAACAAAAATACCGATACCCTAACTTATATCGAAAAGAAATGATCGATAACTTAATAATGAATGTTCCCTTTAACAGGAAAGTACCGGGTTTTGTTTGTAACGTGTCCACTTTTCAGTCTCCCTTCTTAAACATTTTTACAATTGTGGTGTAGATAATTTAAAAGCTTATAACCTAGAGGTCAAATGGTAGAAAAGTCATTTCCCTAAGGGCTTAGCCTTCCTAGCGTTTTATTTATTTTTAGAGTCCCCTTTCAAATATTTAGTGATGCTTTTTAAGTAGAAGCCTGAAGGCCTAGAATCCTATAAGTTATTTTAAAACACCTAGGCTACACCTACAAAGTTTATCTCTCAAACATTCTAGATGCCACTCCATAATTCTCGCTTTTTTACTCATCCTCAACCCATTGGTCAACTCTTCCTATGATGCTAAAAATTATTCTTAGGTAACAGTCACAAAAATGTAGGCCTAAATGAAGCGTTTGCACTATAAAGCAAGATTGTAACTAAGGAAAACATTTAAGTTAAACTTAAGACAAAATAGGTCCATCTGTTATTGATCATTGGGATTTTAATAATCGACCTACAGTAGACTCCTTCTTATCCGGACATCGGTTTAACCGGACTACACTTGGCGGAAATGACATCTCTTTAACTAGACAATTTTTATCGGCAATTTGGTTTAACCGGACTAGATCGGCAGGAAGTGGGCAGTACTGAAAACACTGTTCTCGTGGGAAAGATTTGAGACCAGTGATCACGTGTCTAAATACAATGCTCTCCTAAATTTCAGTCGAATATCACAGTAAACAGTCTGTTTTAACGAGTTTTTGGGGACTGCGTTTTAACCGGAAAACGCGTTATCCGGACAGGCCTCGGTCCCGAGGAGTCTGGACAAGAGGGAGTCTACTGTAACTTAGCTAGAGAAACAGCTCTTTGTCAGCAAAAAAAAAACAAAAAAAACAGTAGGCCTAACAATAGAATAAGTAAACACACTAAGCTTACCTATAAAAATCATTTTCTGAGATGATGTCCCTAATGCTGTCTTCTGGGTCCAGCCTATCGTAGAGGCCAATATGACGACTCGATCTCCTTGAAGAACCTTCACCACCAAAGTCCCCTGTGATTTTCAGGACGGGTTTATCCATGGAAGAGCACTTTGCAGCATTACTAGTTTCACTGTCACTGTAATAAACTGGCAAACTTTTTGGCAAAACACTCGGAGACACTGCCAAATCATCATCGTACACAACACATGCTTCTTTCTGAATCTGAAGAGCTGCATCACTTATCCCGTGATGCATTTCCCCAGTGGTTGCTGGGGCGCATTGTAGAACAAGGTCATCACTTTTGCTATGTTTCAAATCAGAGAGGCCGAGTCCAGATGGGCGATCCTCGTAACTTGAATATCGTGCTATAACAGGGCTCCGGCATCCTTCTCTCAGTCCATACCTGAAGGAATCACTTCTGGGTGGAGGACTACTTGATGCTGTTTGTATCAGAAGATCAGTCATCTTCTGCAAAAGAGAGGAGACATTAGCGATGAAAATATGTACCTACCCGTATGTGTATGAATAGTCTCTAAAATCTGTAATCAAGAATTTCAGTAAGGTGACGGTAGGCTACATTTACTCAAAAGCATTAGGCCTATGTTAAAAATGTTTTGAAAGCAGTACCAGAACCTAACTAAACTTAAAACCATTATCAAATCATAAATTTCTATCCTCAGTTTACATTATGCTACCTCTATTTTTCATATTCTGATGTTTCTCCACATTACTTAGTTTTAAAACTACCTAAGTTACCATGATAAAATCCCACATCTGAAAAAATTATAAAAAATTGAAATAACTTAGGTAGGTACCGTAGGTAACTTCGGGTACACCATAATACAAGTACAAATTGTTCATTATTTTAATATCTTTTAGGAAAACACCACTCGTTATAGCCTAGAATAGCCTATGTTGATAAGTTAGGTACCGGTACCCAAATAAGGGCAAACGCTAATAGTTAGTAGGGTTAGGCCTATGCTAAGTTAAAATCGTATAGGGCCTTTAAAGTCAATGGTTAAAATATATTTTTTTCTTTAAAAAGAATCAAAACACTCAAAATAAAAAATAAAAAATAATTTGGTCATGCAAAAAAATAAGCAAAATATTTAAAATTCTTACTTGTTAAAATATTTTTAAATCCCCATAGTTGACAGCCCATGATTTTTGTTTATTTTGTTCATGCCTGTTTCAAATTGTTAGCATTCCAAACAAATACATAGGCCTAATTAATTGCAAATAATTACCTAAATATTATTCAGTCTTATGTAGCCTATTAAATACTAGGATCAGAGCATAACATTATTACCTTTCATATATTTATCCACAATAGTCTGATAAATGATTTTGTACTCGGTAAAATCCAAACAACACCCAGACGACACACCGAACACAACGAATCCCGCACCGAATTGACGTTTGCGCTAAACCAACCTACGGCTATGGACGTAACCGTCAACCGTCAACAACAGACTACAGGCAGACTGGCCAACATTCAACATTGAATTGAAAATTGAACATATGGATCTTAAAAAAATATTTAGCTCCAGCTGGCTGGGCTGGCTGCCTTTCTCAAGTTTCTCCGATCGCCACTGTAGCGCTAGCTGTAAACCATGACGAAGAGGAAGAAAATAGCAAGACCATGGAATATACTCTAGGTGACTTCGGCACTATATCAAATGGTTAAAAAAATCATAAAATATTGAAATAAAATGTGCCTGTGGAATCAATATTATATTCTTTCCTAACCAGTTATATAACCCAATCCCACACTGCAACTGACTTGCACCATTTAGTAAACTACAAACGGTACCAGAAGTGAAATAATTCTCAAATAAAAAATACAATTATTATATTACTACTTAACTTAATCTCATCAATGAGATAAAATAAGCAAGTCAAGTACGGTTTGCAGTTCTTCAATATCATTTTAATACAACAATGCTACAACAACCATGTCAATCATACTATATATAATCAATCACAATCACTCTGAATCAGCTGAAGACAAATTTTGGGTTCAAGTATCGTAGGGCTTGGTTGTTTCATGTTTTAAAGGTCTTATCATTTATTTTTGTTATCTATACTTATTTAATACGCAAGCAGGTTTTTTGTGACAATTACTCCTCCGAAACTACGAGACCGATTTACATGTTCTTGGTGTCATTGGAAATAGCGTAACGTGAAGTTGTGCAGGAAGCTTTCTTTTTTGGGAAATAATTAGAGGGTGAGGCCTTGGGGCCCTTTAAAGTTTCGTATTTCTCCACTTATTTAATACGCAAGCAGGTTTTTTGTGACAATTACTCCTCCGAAACTACTAGACCGATTTACATGTTCTTGGTGTCATTGGAAATAGCGTAACGTGAAGTTGTGCAGGAAGCTTTCTTTTTTGGGAAATAATTAGAGGGTGAGGCCTTGGGGCCCTTTAAAGTTTCGTATTTCTCCATAAGCTTAACATGGGAAACAAAAATTGTTATGAAACTCCAGCTGTTGTCAGAAATTAAAAGTGAGAAGAAGGACATATGTTAATTGTAAACAGTCAATAAGTTTGCTAATTTACAGTTAGTTTGCTACAATTATTTAATTACTTTGTTGAAATAAAATAGCTACTATTTGAATTTGGGTTGGCGTAAATATTACAATGGAACAAAAACTAGAGAACCTGGATAAATTGATATACTAAAAAGAAAACTGAATTAACACTGTGCTGCATTTCTTAGTAATCATTGAAAGAGACGATTTGCAAACTATGGAAACATAGGAAAATCATAGAACATCGCCAAGGGGAAGAAATCGAAATAATGCGTGTTTTCTTTTTTGTTTTTTTTTTATAATCGTTATTATGGACAACCTAATGCAGCTATGAGTAGGCCTAAGGCTATTGGCTATTTGTATAAAACACTAAAAAACAAAATCAGCTTTTGAAAAATGATAAGATATTTACAAGAAATGTTGATTATATCGATCTGTTATGTACATCTTGAGTATTCCATAATCTTTGAGTCGAATCAGTCATCAGAAATTATGACTGTTATTCGTTTTAAAATAACGCCTGTAATACTTATCAATTGCTCGATTTCGAGCAACAGGGACACTAGTTTTATTAATTTAAGGATTATTACATCCAAATAAACCATTTGTTTCCAAAGAAATGTTCATGTTTAAACACACTTCTTTGCACTTTTGTACATTTCTTTGTCCGAGTCCCTTGTCCACAACAGAATAACGACTTTGAGTGCGCTTAAATGTCCTGATAAATGCGAAAATTATTTACACTTTTTATTGTCACATTGAAAATAAGCATAACTTGTTTATTGGTGGTTGGTTTGAATAGGTTGTGTAAGGTGAAATTGTAAGCCAGGCTAAATCATCAAATGCGAATAATAGTATTCATGACCCTCCAATCCAAATGTATTACCTTACCATATAAGTCCATCAGCGATTAAGAAGCTTCCCAGACAGCACACTTTCTCCTCAGGACATCCCACGGATATTGCGACAGGATATGCAAGATATCCCATAGTGGTCCTATGGTCAACTTGGGATATCACAGGATATCCACAGGAATGCGTAATGTCCCCGCCCGGGGATGTCCTACGGATAAGCTCACACGCATATCCGTGGGACATCCGAGGTCATCCCAGGGTAGTCCTCAGGACATTCTCAGGACATATGGGACTACTATGGGATGTCCCTGGGATAAAGTGTGGTCTGGGCCTGAACATAAAAAACACAAAATAATATAGATTTAGTATGAAAAGCTTTAATTATAAGTTTAGTAAATTGATTAAATAGTTAATAAACACAAATTTTGAAGAAAAAAACGAGAAAAAAGTTTTTGGCCCAGACGGGTTTCGAACCTGGTACCTTCGCCTTGTGAGCCTCTTACCTTACCTCCTGAGCTATCTGCGCTTGTTGATTATGGGTGTTTTCAAGTTGTTAAAGAGTAGACGACAGTTGCAATGGTCGCAATACTTAAAATATTTTTGATACTACAGTATAGGCTATATATGATTCTGTTAATCTGTTTAGGCCTCAAGTAGTTGAATTGTTTTTCTGGTAGTTGGAGAGGATACTGGTATTTGAATATAGATTATTTAATCACCATTAGATTAGCACTGTAATAATTTATTGTTATATGATTAAAATTAGTTTTTTGTTGTTTTATTAATTTAAAGTTAGAATTAAATTCACATTTCACACAAACTATGATAGAACTCTAGTTTTCCTGAACTCAGTGGTAGTAATATGTCAGTAAAGTAAAGTCAACCCTTGCTAGCCATAGTATTAACAAGACATATTTTCAATCTGGGAAACCTTAAACTTTTAAAATAAATTATAAAACCTCAACATCTTAATGCGTGGGAATCTTATTTTTAGAAAAAAAAACAGACCAAAATTATTTGTTAAATAATGAAGACGGCCCAATTATAAATTCGGAATTACTGAAAATAATTACATCAAGAACAACACTGTAACATATCCAAAATTCAAAAGATTAATTTTTCTAATATTATTTTTATTTTTCCAATATCCTTTAAATCATCTGTTTTAACTTTGTTTAAAATTAATGTATTAAGTAAATATTTACTTTCTGTACTAGTGTAAACACAGCCTGAAGATGGAAACCAAGTTTCTGAAAGCACTAGTGAAAAAAACAAATTATTATATATTGGCCTTGTTGAACATTTAAATTTAGATATACTGAACATTTCATCAGTGGTAGTATTTTTTTCTTCAGTTTGTTACCGGGACATTACGGGACATTACAGGATATCCAGTGGATTTTTTACATGTCCCGGGATGTCATGGGACATTCTGGGATATCCTATGGCATTCGTACATATCCCGGGACTTTACAGGATATCCTGAGGTTAACTTACAAATCCCGGGACATTACGGTATATTGTAGGATATCCTGTGGATTTCGTACTCGTCCCGGGATTTTGCGGGATATCCTGAGGATAGCGCACATATCCCGAGACATTCTCAGGACATATGGGACTACTATGGGATGTCCCTGGGATAAAGTGTGCTGTCTGGGTTTTTGCTTGCTCGCCAAATAAGTAAAAAAAAGGTTCAGCAGGTGTTTAGAAAGTTCTTAGCACAAAATCTAAGTGTTCTAAGGTTAGGACTGGTTCGGAGGAAAGGAAACCCAGAAATCTGCAAAAATAGCTTTTGCTCCTTTCCAAGACACCTTTGCTAAAACTGCCCATATCCTACTTTCTTCTATCCAACCAAACTTATCTCCTCCAAATAGTAGTACTCAAAAATAAATCCATAAACAAATCCAAATCATATTGGCTAAGCCTGCTGCGCAGGTAAGTATGGGAAATAAAAATAAAAATTACAAATTTAACACTAACATCGGCGAAACTATTATACTAAATGAACTTTTGCCGAAAGCTCCTAAGCGCAAAACAGGTTCACTAAATTACAGAGATAATCTAATAAAATATAAATTTTCCATAGAATTCTATATAATAATACAAAGCTACACTTTAAGCTATTATCAACAGAACTGGATATCAGTGTACAACGCAACAACAATGAATGACAAATTTTCCAGATATTTTACACACACTTGATTACCCTCCTTTAGCAGCATTAATGTTATTCAAATACCTATATTTAACTGAAAATCCAATTAGACAAATGGCAATTCGGTTAGTCTGCAGGTTTGCAGCAGCGATGGGGGTAATAATAAAAGGCAGCCTGTCTGCTGAAATTAGATCCAGCCAACAAATAACATTATTGGGATAGTGAGGTTTATATATAGGTTGGTGCCAAATGGTGCCATGTGGATGAACCCACATTAATTGTTTGGATTTAATTAAAATTTAAATAAAATAAAACATCCTCAACAAAAAGTTTATAAAATTGTAGTTGACATTATATACTGTCTATTGTGATACAGTATAATGACCCAGACAAAAGTGATGTGTATTGATTTATGTGGTGAATCAGGCTTGAAAGCAACTATAATGTTCCTCTGACATGCAACAGTGAAAATATCAGGAATAAGATAGGTCGACTGAGCAACAAGCCTCCAGTCCAGGGCAATATGCTACTCTATGGGCTGATGATTTACCACAGGGGTTCATACCTTTATGATATTTTCTGTTCACACCAGTCTTTGGAATGATGTTTCAGTAACGTAGCCAGGATTTCAAAATAGAGGGGGGGGGTCGACCGACCAAGGGGGTGGGAGCCTCAGGTAAAAGGGGGGTCCAGGCATTTTTTTTAAATATAGGCCCTAAAACGGCTTTTTTTAGCTCTCTTTTGGCATTAAAAATAATCAATCCCAACGTCAATACAGTATGATTAAATATAGGGTGTCCCACGAAGGGGTTTAAACGTTTGATTTTATATTACGCGCCCATTCATGCACCAAACTTTTTGAAACTTTACACAGTTTACAAGGTAGGTTTTAAAAATATTCTGGAAAAATTTCAACTCCCTAACCTTAGTAGAAACAAAATGGCGGCATATTGAAAAAGTTACTTTAAAACATTAAAAAAGGTATTTTTGGTTTTATAAAATATTTTTATTGTTACTTTCCAGGGCAATATGACTTTAAAACAAGAAAAAATTAGAACATAACCAAATGGAAAACTAAAAATTAATCAAATAACTAATAAATAATAATAGTAAATAAATAACTAATAATAAATCATGAAAGTAGTTTTTATAGAAAGCACATTGGTAAATTTGTCAATAAGCCGCCATTTTGTTTCTACTAAGGTTAGGGAGTTGAAATTTTTCCAGAATATTTTTAGAACCTACTTTGTAAACTGTGCTAAGTTTAAAAAGGTTCGGTGCATGAATGGGCACGTAATATAAAATCAAACGTTTAAACCCCTTCGTGGGACACCCGGTATAATTTAACATTTTATTTAAGAAATATAATATTATATTTAAGACCAGACCCCCATAACCCCCCCCCTGGCTACGTTACTGGATGTTTTCTAAAGGAACAAATTTCTTTAAAGAATTCTGTCAAAAATTCCCACGGGGAGTTTATTAATAATACTATAACTATAACAAAAATAAAATTAAAAATAAGCTATTTAATATAAGACTAAAACAAAAGTAAACTAAATGTTTGATTTGTACTTCTTTTATTCTCCCTTCCACAAAATGTAATTATTAAAAAAGTGCTTAAGTTAATATTATTTTAGATTCGACCAGTTTGCAGAAGTTTTTAGCTTTTTTTGTGATGAATACTTACTTACTTGAATACTTGTATTCTTAATCCTTGACTGACTATTGTCAGATAGATTTCTTCAGGTCTTTTAAGAATTAAAAGACTTTATTTAAAAATTATACTAAAACTAATATTTACAACTGGTGGTATGGCGGACGTTTTTATTGTGAAGGGAAGAGTGGTACCTCCAGCTCCCCCAGAGAATATAGTGGCATACTTACGAGGGCCTTATGTAAAACTTTTTAAAATTCTTTCATGCCTCTCGAACTTGCAACGGCAGCGTGTTGAAAATTCTTATGGCCGACCGAGGGTAGGTCTTCAAGGTCTGTATTCGAGTCGACAGCGCGGAAGGTGTAAATCCTGAGCTCTTCATGTGCTGTAGTTATGATGATCTTCAGATCTTCCCTTCTCATGAAGTCGCCCATATTTTCTTTCAGGAGTGTGGAGTATACTGTACACAAAACATACTGACTTTTTACACTGTGAGGATCTTCAGTTCTCTAAAGATAAGCCGGCAATGCTCATTAAACCCAGATGATGTGATGACTCTGAGTGCCATCTTTTGGAGTAAGAGAACATCCCTTTTAGCAGGATAATGTCCCCACAGTATCAATCCATACATCACATGGCCATGGAAGAGGATACACCGTTGTAAGGTATGGCTGAGGTATCCCTAAGTTTCCTTAGAAGATACAGCACTCTTGAAAATTTGACACATACCTTGCTTATATGATATGGTGCTTCAATGTGCACCTCGAGTCGACCCAGAAACCCATAGTTTGGCCGGTTTCCGGTTTACCCTCTTCTACCCCTGCACTCAGAGCGCATTCGAGGAATCGGAGGAATTGTGTTTTATCCTCGTCTGTCTACCTTAAAACTTGTTTGATCTTGGATGATGTGCCTGGTAATGCCAGCTGATAGCTGGCGAAAGGCCCAATTAAATTTTAAAATGCATTATTAAATATTGGTGATTTTGTCATAATTGATTAAATCAGTGATTACCCATTGCTGACTACATGACAGTAAAAGTTTAAATTTTTTATTTAAAATTTGAATTATAACGGTGACTCATTCAACTTCCCCGTTCCCCGCCCCACGACACGAGCCGCATTGCAGCCAGCAGAGCAGGTCAAATGAAAAGTCTTTGCCGCCATTAAAATAGTTCTACATTGAAAACTAGCTAAACCATCATAGACATTTTATTTAATTCTTTGCGTATTTTTGAGTAAAATTACTTATTTTACTGGTAGAAGTTTTTGTTCAAAATTTGTGTCAATACGTTATTTAAATTATAGTGCTTGTATTGATTTTCACCTTTCACCAGACGACCAATGGCAGGCATAGAAATTGTTGCGCATCGCTTTATAAGGATTTAGCTGAACTCTTTCTTCCATATTAGTATTTTATCCGAGAGAGGAAGGTTCTTTTTCTCAAGCCAAATTCCTTTATTCGGTTAGAAATAACAATATCCTTACCGTACCTGAAAAATGGTGAGTACTCCTAGACCCTAATAACTAATAAGATTAACTTAGTTCTAGCAAAGCTAGGCCTAGTGTAATTTAAATGATTTGGTGATTGGATTATCTTTTGTAGCATTTTTAAATAGGCTTAATAATTTCACAAACTTATATTATTGTATAGATTAGCAGGTAAGGTAATAGGCCTAGGCAGGCTAGAACAGTTTTATAATTTACCGGTTGAGATACTGTACCCAAGTTAAGTTATGCCTCGATGATGAGGTTGTTGGCAGTGCCCCACCACACCCCCCACCTTTAAAATAAGACATTGCAATTAGCATGTTAGTGGGTTAACTTATTTTGCCAAACTGCAATGATACAAAGAGTTGATTTTATCTTGATTAGGGGTAGGCCTACGTTAAGTTAATAGCCTAGGCTAATTTCCGTAGTGAAGTGTGATATTTTCTAATGATGGGAGAATCGAATAAACTTACTTTAAAGAATCGAATACAGTGAATTTGTAGCCTCCTCTGTATTTGAATACTTGTATTCGAACACCTTTGGGACTAGAAAGGATGTAAAATGAGTTTGTGATTATTTCATAATGCAATCCGTTCTTATGGCCACTGTTACATGTAATTTTGTTTTACACTAGTCCTAAGTAACTTAATTAATTCATTAACTAGTGTAATGCAAAGTATTACCTTAAAGTTTACAGCAGTTATTTCAAAACGAATAAGCTTTAACAGTCATATTTACAATGAGTTTAACCCTCCGAGTGTCACGTGTTTTGGCCTTAATGTCAGCCTATTTTTTGCTCATTTGCAAGGTTTTATTAAAACTGATCTGAGAAGCTTAAAAACAATGTTAATTAATACTGTTCTAAGTATATACCATTTTGTTTGGAAAATCTTGGGCTTCAATATTATATATAAAACATAAGGAAGATTAAAAAAAAAAAAAATTTTTTAGGTAAAAAAATGTATAATTTCGAAAATTTTCAAAAAAAAATAAGTTTGCGCTCAATGAAATTGTATAAATTATAGGCCTATAAATATTTGAAAATAGCCACTTTGTTCTAAATTTTATGAGGATTACAAATATATAATAATATAAGGAAGTAGATTTGCAAATAAAAAAGTTATGGGCAAAAAACAGATTTCAGTACATAGCGTTTAGCTAAGAATGCATAGCCCAACCATAGCTAGGAATCTGGCTGATAATTTACATCAATATCACTACCTACTTCTTCAGGATCATCAACCAGCACTTGGGTCATTCCATATCAAGTGATCAAAATAAAAAATAAAATTTTCCCTTATGTTTTTCATTCTTGTTAGTTTTTGGTTTATTTAATATACACATAAAACCAATTTAAAATTTAGAAAAAAAATATTTTTATCTCCTTTGGTTTTTTTGTAATCTTACTTTAAAGTTCCAAAAAAAGTGTGGTTTTGCGCTTAAAGGGATTTACGTTTTATTTAATATCTCAAGAAAGAATAAAGATAGAAAGGTAAAACAAAAACCATTCTTTTCAGGATTAAATTAGCTTTAATTTGATATACAACATGGCAGTATTTAAAGTAATTAAAATTTCAACCCCCCAAACTCAAAATTTCAAAAGCCAATCCCAAAAAACGCATATGATTAAAAATTTTCAAAAAAATACCATGGATCCTTAATGTTATTAATAATTTATGTCCAAAAATTCAAGTTGGGATCTCAATGGGATCCATATTAAAATAATTTTTTTGTATAAGCCTGCAATGTAAATAGACAAGTCGTAGGCTACAGGGCTAATCGTTACATTCATTAGCTACAAAAATGTCTAAGTAACGTAACATACAATAAAAAGCTCAGTTGTACAATACAAGTACAGTAAGCCTAAAGTGTCTAAAATTTGGTAACTTCACTTTTTAAATAAGATATCAATTTCCTTTGATACAAGCTTCTTTGAGGATGAAGAGCAAGTTAACCCAGATTCAGAAATAATTGCGGAATTGAAAGAAAAATTTCAGAAAACTACAAAAAAAGTGAGAAGTTCTTGAGACTTACAACATTACCTAAAAGTTGGACTGTGAAAAATTGAAATCGAGTTTGGTGTCAGTAATAGGATGGCCAGAAGAGCTAAATCGTTAGTTAAAGAAAAGGGAAATAATGTCATGTCCAGACCCAAAGCCAGGAAACACTTTGGACCAGAATGTTGTAGATAAAGTCAAAGCTTTTTACAACTCTGATGATGTGATTCGAATTATGCCAGGCAAGAAAGATTTTGTAGTGATGAAAGTAAATGGATAGAAAGAAAATGTGCAAGAGAGACTGGTTTTATTAAATTTAAAAGAATACTTTGAACCGTTCAAAAAAACAGAATCAGCTGTGAAAATTTTTTTCTCAAAGTACGCTGATTTAAGACCGAAGAACTGTATCTTGGCTGGGGGAAATGGAACTGACTCTGTTTGCGTGTGCACAACGCACCAGAATGTAAAAGGAATGATTGTCGGAGGAAAGCTGAAAAAGGTGAAGATTGATGAAGCTACTGATCTTGGCGATTACAAACAATGTTTGTCACAAATAATGTGCCAAGAAAATACCCCTGACTGCTACCTAAACAAATGTGTAAAATGTCCAGGAGTATTAAAACCAAAGAACTAAAACTAAAAGAAGTACTTCTGAACCACTTTGAAGAGGGGATGATAGAGACCATCACATACAAACAATGGGTTTCTGTGGATAGGTGTACATTTGAGACATTTTGCGAGACTGTAGAAGAATTTGTGGACAGTTTTTGTGAACAGCTTGTTGAACTAAAGAATCATTCATTCATATCCCGTCAGCAATCCAAGTACTACAAAGATTTGAAAGAAAACATCCAAGAGGATAAAGCAGTTGTAAGTTTGGACTTTTCAGAAAACTACTCTTTTGTGGTCCAAGACGAGGCACAGTCTTTCCACTGGAATAATAACCTCTGAGCTACTGTGCATCCATTTGCTGTTTATTACAATGAGAAAGGAGAAATTAAGTATACAAGCTTTGTAATAATATCAGAATGCTTGATTCACGACTCGGTAGCAGTCCATTTATTTCAATTGATATCTTATTTAAAAAGTGTTAAAAAGTAAATTTTATTACGGTACCAAATTTTAGACACTTTAGGCTTACTGTACTTGTATTGTACAACTGGTTAGGCCTATAGACTATTAGCTTTTTATTGTATATTACATTACTTAAGACATTTTTTGTAGCTAATGAATGTAACTATTAGCCCTGTAGCCTAAGACTTGTCTATTTACATTGCAGGCTTATACAAAAAAATTATTTTAATATGGATCCCATTGAGATCCCAATTTGAATTTTTGGACATAAATTATTAATAACATTAAGGAGTAATGGTATTTTTTTGAAAATTTTTAATCATATGCGTTTTTTGGGATTGGCTTTTGAAATTTTGAGTTTGGGGGGTTGAAATTTTAATTACTTGAAATACTGTCATGTTGTATATCAAATTAAAGGTTATTTAATCCTGAAAAGAATGGTTTTTGTTTTACCTTTCTATCTTTACTCTTTCTTGAGATATTAAATAAAACGTAGATCCCTTAAAGCGCAAAACCGCGCTTTTTTTGGAACTTTAAAATAAAATAACAAAAAACGAGATGAGGTAAAAAATTTTTTTTTTCATATTTAAGCTTCTTTTGCATAGATGTATCTAATGTAAAAAGATCAATCCTGTAAAAAATGGTGAGGTAATTGGTATTTGATCACTTGACATGGATTGACCCACTTCAAAACCACTTAAATCTTCTTATAATGCACCACGTATATCACTACTTTTGATTTTTAACACTAAAACAATGATAAACGTAATAAAACACATCAGTCATCGGTCCGAGGGTAACCTAGCTGTTTACAAATACACGCACGTCAGCTCAGTCAGCTGTCTGCTACAATATTTTCGGAACTAAAATGAATAGTGCTTAGAGACAGACCTCTGCAGAAAGCTTAGAATATTACGGACAGAACGATACCTAACTCAATCCAGTACAGTCCGATTCAGTTAGTCATAGAGCCTTCGCCGTAAACAGTGTTCGCGAGTCGCTGCAGCGACGCACGACACTATACAAAGTGCGTTACGCGTCGCTGCAGCGACGCATGACACTCGGAGGGTTAAAAGAGTCAACTCAAAGATTACCGGTGTCTAACTCAGACCATATTTATCTTCGTTACCTATTGATAAACCTAAAGCATTCCAGCCGGTTTTCTCCTTCTCATAATGCCTGGCTGTACAGGTAACACAGGTCATTGATAGAGGGCTAATTGAGAACGATAGAAAGTCACAAAGACAAGAACTCATTTTAGGAGGATATGGCCATAATCTAAGTTAGATTATGTTTTAAAATTCTTGAATGCAATCGTCATTTCGTCATATTTAGTTAAATTTTTTAAATGTCTACTTGCTCTGACAAACAACAGGTGCAATGGGCGTTTTTGGAGAATTGCACAAAGTTTTAGGCGTTGAAAACTTCTTTAAAAGTCACCAAACGGCTTAAAGGTAAAAATTTTCTGGGCAAGGACCCACGGACCCCCTTCTTGTGGGGGTGCTCCACACCCCCCCCCCCCCCCAACCCCCTTCCTCTCTTGGATAAAATACTAAGAGGAAGTCTAAGTTACTGTACATTGGGAGAAAGCTTATAGAATCTGCCAAAATCAATGATACCTAACCAATTTTGATCCAGTACAATCCGATTCAGTCAGTCCCAGAGCCTTCGCCGTAAGTTAACTTAATCGATGTTTGTCAGTCGATGCGTTGACGCATTTACACCACAACCTTGGCTTTCTCAGAGTGTTATGTTCAAAGACTAATAAAGTAGGCCTAGGCCTACTTATGTATTTTAAAATAAAAAATAACTTACTTGATTATTTACCATGAGTACAAGTGAGTATTTACTTGAGTATACCTAGCCTTACTTAATTTTCCAGCGTGAGTGTATCTCTATCCATGTTGGCCAAGCTGGAGTCCAGATCGGCAATGCCTGCTGGGAGTTATACTGCCTGGAGCATGGGATCCAGCCCGATGGTCAAATGCCATCAGACAAGACTGTTGGAGGAGGTGATGACAGTTTTAACACCTTCTTCAGTGAAACTGGAGCAGGAAAACATGTCCCTCGTGCTGTCTTTGTAGATCTTGAGCCAACAGTAGTAGGTAAGAGATTAAGATTAGTAGGTAGGCCTAAGCCTTGGACAATGATAACTGGCAATTTAAGTTAGGCCTAACTTTACTTATTCATGATTAAGTTTTTTTACCTCTTTCTTACCTTACATGTTATAAGTTATATACTTTGCCTAGTGCAAATGTTAAGTTAAGCTATCCTATTGAAAGTTTAGGAGCTAAATGATTTGGTTAACAGTTAAGTAAGCCTAACCTATATATATAGGCCTAAAGCTGTTTGAAAGATATAGCTGATTCAATGGTTAATGAGCTTACTTGCAATTCCAAAATATAAAAATAAAACTTTGATTGTCAGATGAGGTTCGAACCGGCACATACAGACAGCTGTTTCACCCAGAGCAGCTCATCACAGGCAAGGAAGATGCAGCGAACAACTATGCTCGAGGCCATTATACCATTGGAAAGGAGATTGTCGACGTTGTCTTGGACCGTATTAGGAAGCTATCTGACCAGTGTACCGGACTACAAGGTTTCTTGATTTTCCATTCCTTTGGTGGGGGTACTGGATCTGGATTTACTTCTCTTCTAATGGAAAGGCTTTCTGTTGACTATGGGAAGAAAAGCAAATTGGAATTTGCCATCTACCCTGCACCTCAAGTAAGTGACAGAGTTCAAATGTTTAAAATTACGTAGGATAATTGACCAAACTACTAAAGAAAGCTCTACAATTTCCATACTGAGCAGTAACTTAAATGTCAAACATTGGTCTTAATGATTACATTTAACTTAACTTATTAAATTTTTTATCGCTAATTAAGTAAACTGACTCTCTTTCTATGAAAGTGTGAAATGTTGGAACTTTACAGGCCTATTTATTTAATTGAACTAGAGCTCAAAATGGTGTTAAGTTACCACTAAATTAAATTGACAATGAAAACTTCTTGTAGGCGTAGGCTATGTCCTAAGCATGGCAGGCTGTCCACATTCTGGAAAGTCAGGGAAAGTAATGGAAAAAAATTCTGGTCATTGAGTCATGGAAATAGACAAAAAGTCATGGAAATCCCCAATGATAGATGGATTTGAGGGGACCTTTTAATGCTCTAGTCGGCCGTAACCCCGACTATTGCTAGCAGTTTTGGGGATTTTTCGCAAATGTACGACAATTCAATTTAAACAGTTGTATTAGCTTATGAGTATTGAGTTTGTATTGGTTCATTGTTGTACCTATTGTACTCCATTGTTATCTGTTAATACATATTTCAGTATTTTCAGTGAAATAACTTGTCTAGGCAGTATTGTTCGTGTGTGTACGTTATATTATAATTTTCTAAAGTTCGTGAGTCATGGAAATCAATGGTTAATGGTCATGTATACGGTACCTAGTCATGGAAAGTCATGGAAATTAATGACAGATTTTCTGTGGACGTCCTGCATCCTGGTTACTTATAAAAAAAAATTAACCCCCATCGCAGTAAACCTGCAGACTAAGAATGCAATTTTAATTTGTTTTATTCTACAGTATTTTATTATAATATTTCCTCAAATATATTAGATTTATTCCCTATTCAAATAGCCTATAGTACCGGTACCGGTAAGTTACTGTAATAATTAGGTTAAACAAGTTTCTCTATGGTTGAGGAAAAAATATAAGCAATTGAGTTGGATCTTAAGCTAAATATACAAATTCAGGTTATTAAGACAATAATAGGTTTTTACGTACCTCTCAATAGTCCAATGATTAAGATTGCTCAGTAGCCTACTAGTTTTGTAACGAAGACAACCTTCCTAAAGCAAGTTAAGTAGCCTGTCTCTGAGATGGATCATCCGATTTTGTTGAATCCAAAATTTAAATTGAAGCCAAGATTTAAAGCTTAGTTTATTTTACTTAACAACACGATTTTCGGTAACCAGAGAAATGTGTATAGGTAGGCCTAATTGGAAACCCTAAAAAGTAGGCTACAGGTTTTGAAGAGCTCCATACTAACATTGAAATTCAAACTTTAATTCCAAAGAAACCACTCATCTAATCTTTCTTAAATGTTCATGGCTTACTTGTAGGTTTTATTGTAAACGTTGGCACATACTTTTGTAATACAGTGGAACCTCGATAAGAAGACCCTCGATAACAAGTCACTCTTGATAACAAGTGTATTTTTCAAATCCCCTTGAATTTATTTTACCTCTAAACACATGTTATTGCAAACCTCAATAAGAAGTCAACCTTGATAACCAGACTAATTTTATAATCCCCATAAGAGTCTTGTTATCAAGGTTCTACTGTAGTTAACTTATCATACTGCTGTACATTTTTTTAAACATATTCTTGAATCATTATAAAAGTGTTTTTTGTGACACAAGAAATAACAGTAGGCTAACAAAAAAATAAGTCATAAGAATCATTACTGCGTATTGCATGATAGGTATGGTCGCCCTTTCAATTAAAAGTATTAAATTGCCATAGGCTATTTCATTTGTTAAAAATATTTACCATTCACCGACAACTATCTGAAATTTGTTTAAATTAATTAGTATATTTATTTTCATAATTCCCATTATTCCAGGTTTCCACTGCTGTCGTAGAACCTTACAACTCCATTCTGACCACCCACACAACGCTGGAACACTCTGACTGCGCTTTCATGGTAGACAACGAGGCTATCTACGACATCTGCAGAAGGAATTTGGACATTGAAAGACCAACGTACACAAACCTCAACAGGCTGATCGGTCAGATTGTCTCTTCAATCACAGCTTCCCTGCGATTCGATGGTGCACTGAATGTGGATCTCACAGAGTTCCAGACCAACTTGGTACCTTACCCCAGGATCCACTTCCCCTTGGTGACCTACGCCCCAGTCATATCTGCGGAGAAGGCTTACCATGAGCAACTGTCTGTCATGGAGATCACCAATGCCTGCTTCGAGCCGGCCAACCAGATGGTGAAGTGTGACCCCCGTCATGGCAAGTACATGGCCTGTTGTATGCTGTACCGAGGTGACGTTGTGCCCAAGGACGTTAATGCTGCCATCGCCACCATCAAGACCAAACGGACCATCCAGTTTGTCGACTGGTGCCCCACTGGCTTCAAGGTTGGAATCAACTACCAGCCACCCACTGTGGTGCCGGGAGGTGACCTTGCCAAGGTAAGCTTATTGATATCATTGCTTTTTTTATTTCTGAGAAAAGGGTTTAATGTTTTAGAAAGTGCAAAATTTAAAAAAAAATATATAAGACCTACCTAAAGTATTATGATAGTTTGTTAACTTAATACCACATTTGCGGATCAGGTTTATTGCTAATGTAACTTAAGTTAATTTACTTAATTATGTTTTGCTCCCTGGATTGATGCAGTCACTAGGATAAAATAGGTTACACACTTTATTATTTTCATGCTACAGTAGACTCCCTCTTATCCCGACACCTTTTAACTGGACATCGGTTTAACCGGACTATACTCGGGGAAAATGACATCTCTTTAACCGGACAATTTTAATCAGCACATTGGTTTAACCGGACTAGATCGGCAGGAAGTGGGCGGTACTGAAACAAAAACATTTCTCGTGGGATAAATTTAAGACTAATATCATAGTAAACGGTCTGTTTTAACGAGTTTCTGGGGACGTCGGTTTAACCCCCGGAAAACCCGTTATCCGGACTGGCCTCGGTCCCGATATAAATCAGGGGATAAATGACAACAATTTGCCTATTCTATTGTAGGTTATTATTTTGAAGTATTCAATCTTGTTCAGGCTTATATTCTATTCTATAAATCTAAATAAAAATGGGGTTGCTTCTTTATTTATCTAAACACTGTAAGTGACTTTTAAATAAAAACTTATAGTTATTCAAAAGATTTGTTTTCAATATTTATTAGTAGACTACCATTTTAAATACTATTATTCTCAGTCATGAAATGTCAGTTGGTTTTTCTGAATCCTGTTTGTTTGATGTAATACCGAACAGTTCTTTAGGGTTTTTTTTGTTGCCAGGTACAACGTGCAGTCTGCATGTTGTCCAACACCACCGCCATCGCCGAGGCCTGGGCTCGACTGGACCACAAGTTTGATCTGATGTATGCCAAGCGAGCCTTCGTCCATTGGTACGTGGGTGAGGGTATGGAGGAGGGAGAGTTCAGCGAGGCTCGTGAGGACTTGGCTGCCCTGGAGAAGGACTACGAGGAGGTCGGCATGGACTCTGTCGAGGGAGAAGGCGAAGGAGCTGAGGAATACTAAACTCCTAGTCAAACATGCTTTTTTCTCTGTATACCTTATACACAGTATTTATTGTATTATTGTAAACATGTAATATTTATTCCATTTTTTATTTATATATTTATTAAAGCCAAGCATCTGAAATGAATTTAGTTGTCTTATTTAATCCAAGGATGGTTTTAAAATAGATATAAGGCAATTTTGTTCATAATTCTAGAAATGTATGGAATAATGGATTCAGTGACCAGGTAAGTGTGATCTACCCAAAAGAGTTAAACAAAACTCAAAGGTATATGTTAAAAGTTTGATCTGAGGAATAGTTGTAGGTAATGTAAAACAATCTGGATTGTACATCTTAAAGTACCAGTAATAAGCTTCTTTTTGAGGTCAACATCTAATTCATGGCTTAGTTGGATTCAGCTTTATTGTACAATTTTAATTAAATACAACGAGAACAGATTTTTAAAAGTAAATATTTTTTTACTGGACATCTTGTGCTGTACAATACTACAATAGCTCACATTCCCGATTAACATATAGATAGACATATTCTTATCTAAAATAATCCCTTCTGGCTCTGCCCCAGTGGCTCTGGAGTTGCCCATGTTAACCTTATGAGTATTCATATTTAAAAGGAATTAAAGAATTTTATCAGGTGTAGGCTTTCGCGGCCGTTGTCATTGAATTCCATTGTGATGGTTTTCGGCGTCACCCCAACTATATAGTATACCTGGACGGACTTCTCTGACTTAGTCTCAGCCTAGCCACTGAGAATGCCACTTCATAGTAAGGGCGAAACGTCTGGCAGTGAATTACAACTGCCGACGCGGTTGACGCCGAAAACCATCACAATGGAATTTTATCAGGTGTTTCATTTGATGATATTCAATTTCAATAGCATTAAAAAGTTGTAAGGTTTACCAACAGGGTGGAGCACTATTACTTTTTTTTATGACAACAGCTAATTTGAACCAAGCAGCAACAAAAAGTTGTGATACACAATGAGAGCTTTACTTTTTTCTACTGTTTAGGTGCAGTGGTAGAATATTATGGCTATGGTAGATTTTGTTTTATACTGTAGCATACCGTCAATTTAAAGAACCAAATTTTCTCAAACCGTGTCCTCTCACATTGCAAACGCAAATATGAATATAACTGCAATAAGCAGTACTCATACGCCAACCCCGTACAAAGGACGGGTACTCTGCTAGTATTAATTAAAAACAACATTTTTTTCAACTTTGACCCTCCCCTCTCACCAAACTTGATCAAAATGGTGTGACTTTTATTTTACCATACAATAAATAAAATCTATTTAAATAACATTAGGTTAGGTTCCTAGGTTTGCTACAGAGAGGCTAATAAAGTGTGGTATTTAGTAAAATAATAGTAGCTTTCTATAAATAAATAAATTGGCCAAGTTTCATTAAAATATATCCTAAAAAAGCAAACTACAACATTTAACAATACTCTCCATATGCACAATATGGGAATTTGAAATTTGCAATTTTATGAATTTTTTCCGTTACCAATAACCGTATGAAACACTTTGATATACTAAATTATTTGTTCCTTTAAGGAAGCTCTTTAAAAAGGTCTAGAGAGAAATTGGGAAATTTTGTGTTTTGAGGGTCAAAAATGAGAAAAACTATTTAAAAAATAGTTGGGTTAAAATAATGGTTAAAAATAATGGGTTAAAAACCCATCAAACCCACCGTTCCCATGGTCCGATCATGCTGGTTCGCGAACTCATTCAAGTTTATCCCGCCTTACACATTTAAACCAAATTAAAACTAATGGTGTTTTTAGCCTCTGGGGAAATCAAAATGAAAAAGTAAATCGGTCCCGGGCCTAGGTCTTACCTTGCCACCTACGCTAATAGCTACTTCCCTATAGGGAAATTCGCTAAAAATGATCCTGACTAATGAAACAGCTGATCTTAGTCAGTAACAAAGCCACACAGATCATCTCACTCCATTCTAAACAAAGCTCATCCTTACCCATATTTGGATTAATGCACCTAGCAAATGCAAATTAATTTTCCCATCTCAATTAATTGATAACGAGCTACTTTCGTGTACCGGTACTTGAAGTTCAATCAAACTCATAATCTTTTCCATCTGTGGCATGTAAAGAACCATACCTATATCTGTTCTTGGTACAACGATACACCCTTTTTGTCCCCAAAGTAAGAAAACCCCCTTTAAAATGTAGTGCACTAAATACTCCTGAACAGCAATATATGAACAACAATTTTTCTTGCTCAGTGCTAATTTTTACAAATGACTTCTTCATTCAAACTGTATTAATTCGATAACAAATATACAAAAAATTTGCCATCATATGTTGAGGTAAAAATATTGACAACAGTAAAATTTAACCTCTGTAATAGTCTTATAAGTGTTTTGCCATTTGAAATTCAAGAATAAGCTTAAGAAACAATCAATATCTGTACAATCTTCAGTGAACATTGATTTGAGTGTGTTTTGATAACAGAATAAAAGCCAAGAGCATGACTATAATTTACAGATTGGTGATCAATAATTGAACAATTTTTTTAGAAAACTTAAGTCAACAGGTTTGAAGACTAATGATCAAACGTAATAATGTTTCTTGATTAAATGTTTTCTTTTAACTTTCTAATCAAAACCTCAATATTAACAATTTTATTGAGGAGAATGGTTTAATATTCAATGTTCATAGAGAAAATTACAAAAAATTACCTTAACCCAAGGGTTTACTCTGCACCACCCACAATTTCTGAAATGTCTTATAACAAGACAAAGGTGGACACATTGAACATTGTCTTATATGATACCACAGATTATATACCAATTAATGGTATATTGTCTGTGATGATACACAAAATATCAGGTTTAATAATAACGCAAATGGTGGTTTATTATTGTTATTATTGTGACTGATGCTGGACGTAATTATGTAATCCCTAAAAATCTTCTGATACTGACCTGTCCTCTTGTTTTGAAAATTTGAATAAATGGTACTAGACCTCATTAGACGTTAAAAACATTGAATTCAGAGGGCAAGTAAAACTCAAATGTTAAAACGTTTGGTCAAATTACCTTTAAATTCTAATCAAACCAAATGAAGCTTACTGGTACCTGTTCTATCAGAAGTAATTTCTGTACATTGATTAATTGTCAACATGAATGGAATAATAATTTTACTTTTTTTTACAATTTCCAATTAACACTTTGAATCGCCCTTAAAATAACATCAATTCTTTTTTAATCTAGCAGCATCAAAGGACTCAAAACAGCCTCAAGATGAAACTGCTGTCACTGACACCCTTGATGGAGAGTACAACCCTTTTGAACACCGAAATGTGCCTCATCCCACAACGTTGGTAGTTGTATCTGAATACTATAAATAAATTAGTGCATTACTTTTTTATACATACATATTATTTCCTCTGTTTCAAAGTTTGAGTAATCTATGCCAAAGTTAATCCAAAGGATAAAGTTATCTATTACCAAGTTAAGCCAAAAGTACTGACACCAATAAAACTATACAGACTTATACAAATCATCGTGAAAAGTTTATTATACAAATATTATATAAATTCATGTAGTACATTTTTACATTCCATCCTGGTAACAAATATTACAAATCATTGTTGTCAAGTGAATGATATGTTATAACAGTAAAAACAGTGTATCAATTATTTTTTGTTTATAAATAAATTTAATGTGTTTATGATCAAAATAAATTGCAAATTCTTTCTTTACTTACAGTACCTACATAAGAATGTTGGTTCAAATTATGACCATTATCGTATTTTAATTGATAAAGGATCAAATTAAGCTTCTAATTTTACTCAGGGCCATAAATTTACCCTGTTACAGTTTATACACGACCAGATCTGGATTAATCAAACTTTAGTTTTTAATAAAGGATACAATCATTTAATCAATGTTATTTTGTGTTTATCCAATACTGTCAAATAATTTCAGAGACACAGAAACTCTTATACACCTGATCAAGGGATGTCTGGGCACAGGGCTCCTGGCAATGCCTGCAGCCTTTATGAGTTCCGGACTTTTGTTTGGTCTTGTCGCAACATTCTTTATTGGTTGTATATGTGCATACTCCATTCATATTTTGGTAAGTTAATTATCTAGGTGTGATATATTTTGTCTTTGGAATGTCAAGAGAGCTTTAAACTATACAAGTGTTATATGATTCAAACCAATAAGTATATTAAAACCATGTAGACTTATTTCCTTTCCAATTATTAAAAACACATTTGATTGACCATTTGTCACAATCCTTCAATTTTATTTTTCAGGTGAAATGTGCTCACAAGCTGTGCAAGAGATTACGAGTCCCTTCTCTAGGGATTGATGATATCGCTGAGGTAGCGTTCCGCTCTGGCCCTCCTAGTATGCGGGAGTTTGCATCTTCAGCAAGGTATTTGTCTTTGTTATTATGGTTGTAGTTAATTAAATATGAATACAGTAGGTTGACACACCTAGTCTGTCTTCAGTCCATTCATCAGAGGTTTGCTAGTTACTCCAAATCCAACATCAAATTGAAAGTTTATAATGTTTAACAGGCGTTTGAATATTAACATGTAATGGAAACATTTGAAACATTTAATCAACACTATACATGGCTGAACTTTGCTTGTGATGCTCTATGGGCCTGAAAGAAAATTGTGGTCCCTTCCCTTCCTTGTGGGGAAATTATTCCCTCCCTTGCGCCCCCAACAAACAAAAAACCTCTTTGGCCCCAGGGTCTGGGAACATTTACTAAAACAGCTCTGACTCTAGGCTGGCCACATTGAAAATTTACCTACACACTGTCACAGGTTACACGGCGGACACAACACAACTTAAGAGACCCTTGGTCGCAAGAAATGTTTAAGTAATTAATTAGTTATACGAGGGGACCCGTGTGCAATTTCACGATTGAATATTGTTCGAAACTTGTTTCCAAAGCATAATAAATAATTTGATTACCATTTGTGTGATTAAAGCTTTAAAAAAGACACCTCAATTGTGAAAATCTATCAAGTAGGACGGGTGAAAAAAGGGATCTTGCAGAGAAAAGCCTAACTGTATTAAGTATCTATAGCATATTATATTGCTTTTAATTTAGGGAGTTCTTCAATACAGGGAAAGTTATCTGCATTGAAGCTTAAGTTTATGGGCTCCGAACCACGCTAAACACCTTTGGTGATTGGAAGGATTTTAACCCCGATTTCTAGCATAGAAGTCTGCTTTGAACACTAGACGAGGCAACAAAATAAGCATTGTAATAATAAATCCTTTATTTAAATGGATATTTTAAATTAAAATTTTAAGTCATGAATACACACATTTAAGGAAAATAAAATCCTTTTTTCTACAGTTACCATAAAACAAATAAATTGGTTAAGAAACGTAACATATTTTTACACAGAAGTGAACTTTTAATATGACATTTAATGATACAACAGTAAAACAGCTGACCAGCTGATATTTCGTGCCTTCACGTTGCAAATCTGGAGTGAGACAAAGTAAACAGAGTGAATTAAGTGTTCAAATAAAGTTTCGAAGGACAATGTTAGACAATGTTAACATTGTCTCACTGATGAGCGAATTGGCCACTTTGCTTTCTCAAATCAGTGAGAGAACATGTACATTGTTAGGTAACTGTAGGAAAAAGTATAATGTGCAACTCGAGTGCAAAGTGCAATTGCCTCACTCGAGAAACCATTCCTCACTCGCCTACGGCTTGTGAGTAAGTATTTCTGTCGAGTGAGTGCTCACTAGTTGCACAAATAACTATTTTATTTGGCTAAAATAAAATAACCTTACTTAATTTACACTTATGATTTAAAATTGTTTTTATAAACTTTTAGGTTTATTGTGAATTTATTTCTCGTACTGGACCTTCTTGGGTGTTGTTGTGTCTACATAGTGTTTGTTGCAAAAAACACCAAGCAAGTAAGTCAATTTTTTAACGTTTTTTTTTAGACGCTGCACACCACTTGTCACGATCCTCTGTATAAATAAAATTAAAATTATCAGCAATCTGACACATAATTTCTCCCTATAGCTTGTCAACAACCTTTTTCGTAAGCTGTGGCAGTAGTTATGGTATTTTATAGGGAAAATCAGATAAATTACAATAAAATTTGAACTGCAATTTTTACAGCAGTTGGATTTGTACTCTTTTTTTACATATAAAAGGACCATAACATGCAAAATTTTAATCAACATCGTTGGGGCCGTTTTTGTGAAAATTCAATTTTCCCATTTTTATGGGAAAATAACCATTAAAAATAAAAATTTCATAATATGTAAAAAAAGGCCTGGAGGAAGGTAGGTGGAGGATATTGGTTTAGTACCCTCATACCAAAATTTGATCAAAACCAGACTACAGGTGTGGTCTGTAGCTCTGTACACATCCATTCACAAACAGACACCCAGTACATCACTTCAAAAATCACTTTTTTTTGGTTTGGGATATATCCACCCAAAACTAAAACTCAAAAATGTTGACGAAAACAATACTTTATTCATACTATTACTATAGAGGGGGATAAAGTAAACACATGTTGTTACACATATTTTAACAACAGAACAGGAGTGTGAGTATCATAATGGTCTAAAAAAGTCTGAAGAAGTGCATAGCAAAATGTTAGGCTCATTTGTGTGGTGTAAAATTTGAATACACCTTCATATCAAACCCTTGATTCAGTTGTTATATCAATTAGGAATGTCATTTAAGCAAGATTGAGTACGCTATAATAAATAATTACCAAGTTATCATTGGAGTTGTCAATAGTTAGTGGTATCAAAAATACCATATCTTGATTGATATTAATAAAAATAAAAATTAATTAAACTTTATAACCATTTGTCATCAGCCAAATGTCAATGTGTATTGATTATTTTTTGCATATTTAAAATACTCATAAGTCATTTCAAATATTATTATAGATATACTTTTATGATTTATTGTTGAAGTTAAAAGCCCATTTAAGTTATAGTCGGTCTCCTCTTGTTTGGAAATTGGATAGCAGGCTTGCATGAATGGTCTACCGTCTACGCAACTTTACTCCCTTTCTCAGTTAAAAATGTTGTCAGTGACATTGAAATACATGTTCTAAATGTTGGTGTGTGTAGTGTTAAGTTTTTGCGTTTCTTGCGCCACATTCTCTTTTTAGTCTATCCTAGCTAAATCGGAAGCAATTATAGTAGTCCAATGTAATGATATTTTCAGGTATTAGATGTTGATCTTGACAATAAGTTGGATTTAAGGCTCTACATTGTAGCACTTCTACCATTTCTAATCATCACGAATTTGATTCCTCACCTCAAATATCTCGCTCCGTTTTCTATGTTGGCCAATATTCTAATGGCTACAGGACTCTGCATCACTTTCTACTACATCTTCCAAGACCTTCCTTCCATTACGTCACGGCAAAACTTTTCCTCCTTAAACCAGTTACCAATCTTCTTTGGCTTTGCTATCTTTGCCCTTGAAGGAATTGGAGTGGTAAGTTTGAAGATTATATGATAATTAGTTATTTATTTATAGCTTTTAAGCTTAATTTTGTTGTCCTGAGCATTGCGTATTAACTATTGTTCAATTTGAAACTAGTAATCAGGATCCATTGCTTTGTGCAATGGAAATAATAGGTTTTTTATGATTTCCACTTAGTTGAGTAGCTGAGTACAGCTGAGTATAGCTGTATTCAGGACTACTCGCCTACAAATCAGAAGGTAGCCTGTTCAATCCTGAGAAAAGCCATTAAAGATAGATTATTGATTGTTTTAAAATGGACGCAAGTTGCTCTTGATCGTTTGCCTCTTAAAATCACTATTTAATGGTCCTGGCTAAGGCAGCAGCTGATCTTAGTAACACCATTCAACTCTGGTGTATTGGTGTCGTCCTTGTCGTCACAGAATAAATAAGGAGACACTACTATTCTGTGGTGTTGTAGGAAACCTCATCTAAGTTAAAGCTAAAGTTTGACACTCTTAATTACTCGATGATGATTAACAATTGTTTTAAAATTCTTACAGATGTCTGTTTTAAGTTGGACTTAAACCTAACAACCATTAATTTTCAACATCTTCAAGTACCTGAATAATTCCTAATTGATTGAATAGAAACAGATCATGATACACATAAACACAATTTTCACATGGAATTTTACTATTTTTTATCATGAATAAGATGTCAAGATGTGATAAAAATATGTTCTCTTCAGGTGAACAAAGGTTTAAGATTTGCATTTTAATGCTTAATTATTGCAACTTCAGTGTGGAAATTCAGAACTACTACCGGTACTTAACAATAAATTTGTTGATTTTAGAATCATAAATGTTCATGAACTGTTTATTCCCTTGTTTACAATCTGACTGTGATTAAACACTCAACTGAAGGAACAAATGTTAAATGACAATTCACATTTAACCGTTTGAAAGAAAGTTGGTCAGCATAACTGTACCTTTCAAAATGGACTCTAAGTAAGTCCTAATGGAAAAATCACCTTTGTAGTTACCATTTAAAGGTGTGCAAGATCGTAGGTTTTAAAGTGACACCTTCAATCGTAAGGAGTGGTTAAGTAGGTCGGCTGGAAAAGGGATGTAACAGGGAAAACCCCCTGTATTTATGTATATAGATTGCTTTCAGGTGATGCCCTTAGAGAACAACATGAAGACTCCAACACACTTCATCGGCTGTCCTGGTATACTCAACACGGGAATGTTTGTTGTTGTTATGGTGTATTCCAGTGTCGGGTTCTTTGGTTACCTCAAGTACGGAGATGCTACGGAACCCAGCATAACACTCAACTTGCCTCACACAACGTGAGTAATCTCTTATTGTTTTGGTAGGTGAACTTAACTGTTTGAAAGCTCTTTTAGTCCTTATATCCAAAACAGAAAAAACCTCAAACTCATTTAAGCAGGGTAGCTGAGCGGTTGTGGTGCTTGGCTAACAATCGGTCATCAGATCATGAGAAGCATATTGAATGTTCATATGGATCGAAATTGGTCCCAGCTGACCTTGATCAGTAGGCTCAATAAATGGTTCTGGATAAAAGAACATCTGGTCTCAGCAGGGTCTCCTAGCCCGATTCTGTTGGGACAGTCCTGATTTCGGTCCCTTGTGCCCGTGTTTATGCCTAAGTTAATCCGGGGGGAGGAGGGTGGTCCCGATTTTTCCCTAATCCAAGGTGGCAACCCTGGGTCTCAGTCAGTGACAACCCTACACAAAAAATAACCTCCATTTTACAATCATCCTTCAATCATATTGATGCTTAAATACACATAACTGTGTCCCTCTCTATGATTAATGATATTTTTATATTTATCTTTGAATATGCGCAGCTATATTTTATCATACAGTATTTATAAGATGGAACTAATGACTTTGAAGTCTTGGCCTTAAAAAGATTGTTAAACTTGGTTGTAACTGAGATAGCTGGGAGGTCGGCTGAGTTGACAGTCTGACTACATTTTGTCGATATTATCCGCTGTCATTGGCCTACCCTACACAAGATTTAAGAAGTAGGTATAGTATCAATTTTCATTTTTAGGGAGATCTTTCAATTTTCCTACCATGTAATGAAGCCTTTTCAGATGCATCACTTGACAACCCAAAACATTACGGACTACAGCCATGATTTCTCAATCTTTATATATTCATTTCTAATTTGCCATGTGTTCTTCCAAAATCAAATCTTCCTTGGTTGAAGATGCTGTCAGTGACAATCAATGAAATATTCTAATTATTGCTTATAGTTTAAATTTATTTAGTGTATTGGGTCAAGATTTATTGAACTGGTATCTATTCAAGCACCGGCAGCCTGCTCTCTAACACTTTGGTTTGTTTAAGATTGGCACGTTCCGTAAAGGTGATGATAGCTGTGGCAATATTCTTGACATATTCCCTGCAGTTCCACATACCTATCGAAATCATCTGGAAAGGTGTGAAGCATAAATTTGCTAACCACCTAGTACTTGGTGAATGCTGCGTTCGGGTGGTTTTCGTCACAATTACAGGTAAGTTTACTTTTAATTTTTAGAAAAGTAAATTTGATTGTTTTAGTAATCATTTTGAAGAGATAGTTTTTTTTTTGTCCTAGGACGCTAGGCACGAGTCTGGGATTGTTTTTCACATTACTTCAGGCTAGACCTAGGGGTTGCGGAATTATCACTTAGATAAATCCATTGGTGACTTGGCGGGGATCGAACCCGGGACCTCAGGGACTGAAGTCCCGCGCTCTAACCACTACGCCAGCTCGCTCCCCTTGAAGAGATAGTAGCATGAAAGATTATGAAATTAAGACAGCGATGCCAATGGTTCACTTAATATTGTTCAGTATTAACACAGAACGAATAAAGCATAACAAAGTAGGTTTTATTTTGGTACTGACACGCTTTTTGGCTGTTCAAAGTTGCTTGAAAGATTTTTGTTCAACAATTACCTCTTTGCAATGTACATTGACTAATGTAAAAACAATAACTATGTTTAATTATGTAGGAGTAAACATTCATATTTTTACATGAAGCTCGCAAACTAGCCCAGTGTACTCTCTTTGATGGCTACTATTTAACACGTTCACTACCGAGCGACGCACATTTGCGTCGGTCCGGTCACTCCTACAGACCAAAAGGAATGAACATGACGTTGCTTACAGACCAAGTGATATAGGAATAACATTGCCGACAGACCAAAAGAGAAATATCGTTTAAATGGACTAATTGACTCCATATTAACCTTAAGTGAATTAGTTAGCAATAAATATTGTTTTTATTTATCGTTTTGAGCAAATTTTAAAACGCCGCATATACGCGTCGGTCAGTCTATTTAACGAAATCCAGTTAAAAAGATTACATTTTCGTTTCAATAGACCAGGCGACGCATGTAAGCGTCGTTGTAAATTTTGTTGTTTCAAGCTTTTACACAAACAAATAAAGAAACTCCACTAAACACTAGCCAAAACTGCTAAGGTTATAACATTTACATCTGTTTCTGTGATGTCGCGGAATACACAATGTAAAAAACAATGTTGCCAACTGTTGTGTGACGTAACCAATCGTCATATCCACAGACAAAGCGACTCACATTTGCGGCAGATATCCCTCTAGACTGATACGATAAAATCAGGGGTTTAAAATAGACCTTTGCTAAGAAATACACTGATTAATAACATTGAACACCGACGCAATTGTGCGTCGTTAGTCTATTTCAATGTGACCAGCTGACGCAAATATGCGTCGGTGGTCTACTGTGAGAAACGAGTCGACGCACAATTGCGTCGCTGGTCTATGCGAACGTAAATTCCATATAATTGTGGTAGCGAACGTGTTAAAAACTGTAAAACTATGTACGTGCAGTCACAGTTAAATTTTACAGTATAAGTGAAAACTAGGATTATTTTTCATGATGTCGGAGGAACAGCAGGAACTTTTTATTGTACTCGCTGACAAGCTTGCTCTATTACTCGCTAGCTATTAGCTTATAAACTCACCCTGTATAATTTAGCAGGATTATGTACTTTACTTTCATTATAAAAATTAGCCGTTAAACAAAGAGAGTAATAACTGTTAACAATTCATTTCAGTACTTGTCGCTGTATTGATCCCCCACCTGGGGCCGTTCATCTCCCTGGTGGGCGCCGTCTGTTTGTCTTTCCTCGGACTCATGTTACCGTCCATCGTGGAGATCATTGTCTACTGGGGATCTGAGGAAGGACTCGGCACAGGCAACTGGATACTGTGGAAGAATTTAGCAATTATTTTGTTTGGATTCATCGGTTTCTTCACTGGATCCTACACGAGCATCGTCGCTATTATTGAAAAACATCAACGAATCAACCTGACAGGCGGATAAAAGCTCGATATTGATCTTTTTGCATTTCTTTAAGATTCTAATAAACAATGTGTATGTGCAAATTTTCAGATTTTTATCTATTTTCCTAAGTTTCATTTTATCATGAGTTCTGAATTATAAACAGGAATTTATGCTAGTATAAATAATGTCACTTTTTTAGTCATGTTGGCCTAATATAATTTTTATTTTGATACTGAAGTAAACGTCCCATTATTTAGCAAATTTTTTGTAAATAAAACCTAGTTAAATGAGCTTCTGACAAAGTGTGATAAAGTGAAAATTTTATTTTTTCGGATCTTTTCCGTTAATTCACTACCACTAGTTTTTAGAGCAATATATTATTAGCAGTAGAAGTGGTAGTGAATTAAACTTTGGTTAGGTTAGAGTAGAGTTAGAAAAACTGAACTTAACCTAACCACATTCTACTAGAGGTAGCGAATCAACAGAAAAGGTCAATTTTTTTCTTATAGCTTTCGATGATTAGTGGGATATTATTAAATATTAATTTGGATATTTAAACTTGTATGTGACTAACGTTAGGGCAATAAATAGTTCACAAAATAACAGGTAATTACATATTTAATTTTTGATTGCACACTGTGTCACAATACAGCGAAAGACTAAGTCAGTGAATATAACAAAAGCATAATGCGAGAAAGATAATATTGGTGTTTATAACCTATGCTTGTGTGATAAATAATTACTGTCTTTTACAATTTTTACTTTTTATAACATAAAAATATATAACAATCAATTCAGTCTTTCATCAGTTATAAAATATGAAAACTTACAAACTCAATTTAAATGCATTTAATTTATTTATTGTTCCCTTGGTAGTCAATCACAACTATTATTTTCCTATTTACATCAGTTACAGTGTAAATATCTCTAACAATTCCACACAACGTCTACTCTATGGGGTGGAGGTATCAAACATCTAACATGCTCAAATATGGTAAATTATGGTTCACCAATAAAAATAAACATTGCCAAATTTTTATATTTTTGACACTTTAAATCTCAATTTGCAAAACGATAGGCCTATGAATAGTTAAATTAAAACCAATGATTTTTTTAAAAGGTTCAAATTCTGTAAAGATTTTGATTTGTTTTCTAAAATTTTTTACTTGATTTCAACACTAATGATATTTTTTGTACTAATTCATCACTATTACTTCTTAGTTATTGACATGCATGCACTATGTAGAATGTTGAACAAATTATTCATAAAAATACATTATTACATTTTTTTAACAAGTAAGGAAAATTAAATTGACGTTTTGTTCACGAATACGACCTGTACTGAATGAGAACTAGTTAAACAATAAACACAAATTATTTGTTGTATTAAATTAGAAAAGAAATGTATTTTATTCTACAAATAAAAGATTGCCAGGCTTGATTGCAGCCAGTAGTAAGCTACATTTGGTGTACTTCACATTGTTTTAGGCTACGGCCACACGGGCGTTTTTTCACGCAAGAACGCAGTGTGAAAAAACGCAAGAAATATGAGCAGCATTAAATGTAAGTTTTCCCGCAGTAGCGGTCGCCTATTTGTTTCAATGCTACTCTAATTTTTCGCGTGTTTTCACGCTGCGTTTGTGCGTGAAAAAAACGCCCGTGTGGCCGCAGCCTTAAAGAGTTATTAAATTTTTATTTTCTGTTTCTGTTTAAAATGTTTATAATTTGGTGCTTTATGTTTAATTGGCTTCTCCAACACAATTAATAGAACAAAGACATAAAAATTACATGATTTAACAAACCCCAAATGTGAATCATAATTAATATGTTTTATCACATCCTGACAAGCAATGGATGTATCAAGTCCCAAAATATACGAGGGTAAAATATTTGCTATTAACAATGATAAGTGTTGAACAATAACTTGTTATAAGAGTTTCATGAAAATAACATTACCAAACAATGTTGTAAGGTTGTTTCTTGATAAAACATTAAATAATAAATTAATTTAGTTTTTTTTAAATAATAGTTTATATTCTACTAGTACAACTAAAATCCCCTAGGTAGTTTGGTCAATGTTTTGCAAAATAAGACACTTAATATACGCTGGCAGTAGTTACAATAACATTGAATGAAAGCTTACTTACTTAACAAAAAGCCATAAATAATAAACCAAAGCTTGAAATGCAAAAGTAAAATAGTTTTTAGGGGTATAGATCCCACTACTATTTTGAACTCAAATTACTCATATATTAATTGAATACAAGTTGTAGTTTGTAGTCACATTTTTGATTGAACTAAATACAAGGTGAAATTGAATGCTTTGTGAGTTTGACTTTGACAAATTGTTTGTTAATAAACACTAAAAAAATTATTACACAAATACAGCTTAATAAACTATTACTACGATTTCAAACAAAAGAGAAGCTTCATATTTTCTTCGGTTCTTTTGCTTTGTGAACAAATATTAAGTCTATCAGTTATGTATTTTTATAATAAATAATATAAGCTAAATTAATAAACTTGGCCTAAGTAAAGTATTTATGGGACCTTATTGGAATAACAAACAAAAATATTTAATAACACATGTAAAAACTGTAAAAAATAAATTATATTCATTTCTAAAGCTAGAAATTGTACTTTTTTCTAACACATTTGTCTCAATAAAACAAACACTCATTGTTCTTAAAATGCTATTTACTCTTATTTTATAAGAACAATTACACCAATAATCTCTATTGTCACAACTAAATTTGGGGGAAGACAATTTGGATAGCTATTAGCTAATTTTCAATTCTAATCCGCAATTACACATTCTACATTGTACTTAAACACCAACTTACGAGATAATAACTTGGTATAAAATTATAACCTGAATTTTCATTCAGTATCCTACTGGCTATCTATCCTGGTGGGTTAAGTTTCAATAACCAAACAAAATTACCAATTTTTATCACCTTACTGACATACAACCACAATTTTAAAAATGAAACATCTTTGAATTTTTGGAAAAACTTCAAAATATTTACACATATAGTATGTGATTTTAATTACTTGATAAAATACTAATGCAGAAAAATATTGATATTTAAAACTAAGAGTAATTCAAGCTTTCAGCGTTCAGTTTAAACTCTTTGAATTTTGAGTCCTATCTGAAAAAGCTATTAACAATTCGCATACACGTTGCATTCAAAGGAAGATAGTTTTGAACGTAGCTTATATCTAAGGATGTTTGACATCAGGGCAGATCCAAGCTAAGCGTTGTGGTAGCCACCATTGAATACAAGAGGGAATGGATAAGGAATCGTGCAAACCCAAGCACTAAATTCATATCAAGAAAGTACTGCACAAGTTATTGGCAGGTCACTTGGTAAATTTTTTTGGATAAAACCACCAAATAATTATTATCTTTGGTACAAGGTACGGTATTCAAATTAATACTATTAACTCTGTATTTTAGACTAACCACAATTATTTAACAAAACTTTGTTTCAATAATCTTTTTAGAAAAGTAATTGAATGTATTTGTGTTTTAACATCCTACTTAGATTACTTTGATTGATTTCACTCACTCAAATTGGGTTTGCACTAAGGGCAGAAGGGAAGAGATAGACAATAAGATGCAATTTTAAAGACTGCGAATGTGTCTAGATCTCCGTAGTAACAGACAACAAGAGCTAAGTCCGCTGTTGGATGTCTTCGCTAGCTCTGAGACATTGACGGCATGTCTGGAGAAGTCTATCCTGTTGTAGAACACCTGAAATATACACCAGTCATTACCCTAAAACTCTTACCTAATTATGACCAAATTGCACAATACAGTTAAAGTTTGTTCAATGGAAATCTTACAAATGGTGATCGAGGTAGGATATTTCTTTAGGAGAACTTAATGTAAAGAAATTGATATGTATATGAAAAAAACAAAAAAAAACGGTACAGTAGACTCCCTTTTATCCGGACTCCTCAGGACCGAGGCTAGTCTGGATAACAGTTTTTCCAGGTAAACCGACGTCCCCAAAAACTTGTTAAAACGGACCGTTTACTGTGATATTCTACTTAAATTTAGGAGAACATTGTATTTAGACACGTGATCACTGGTCTCAAATCTTTCCCACGAGAACAGTCGTTTCAGTTCACTTCCTGCCGATCTAATCCGGTTAAACCAATGTGCTGATAAAAATTGTCCGGTTAAAGAGATGTCATTTGATTTCCGCCGAGTGTAGTCCGGTTAAACCAATGTCCGGTCAAAGGTGTCCGGATAAGAGGGAGTCTACTGTATATTAGTGGCACTTTTTACTGTGTGTTTTCAGCTATCTGTTTATTTAAAAACTGACGAATGAAATCGGTACTGACTGAAGACATGATCAATTTCGGCAGTTTCACGGTTTGATTCTAAATTCTAACAAAACTTTGGAACATTTAGAGTAGTTTTAAAATTTGAGTTCCTGTTTTGAAAAATCTGGCTTGGCTTAATCTCTTACTAAAATCTTAACAAAATTGTTCTAAAGAAGAAATATTTCAAGACAAGAATTGTATTCTTGTCAACGTATTCATTACAAGCATTTTTTCTTACCTTAGCACTTTCCGGAATCTCTTCGTCCGCCCTGTGTATGAGGGTGCCGTTGATGTACAGAACATTGGCCGCCGCCTCTTCAGGTACCGTTAGTATTTGGTAGCCATATGTCGCCTCCCTCTGAATCCTCTATAACAACATGCACAAGTTGAATTAGCATAGATTCTCCACTCCATAAATTAATGATGCTGAAATTTCTAAAAAATATATGTATACTTTGGCCACACCAATTTATATTTCACCTGGACCAGATGAGGTGATTGGAATGGTTGAACAATTAATGGTACTTGGTTTTCATGAAATTGGTACAATACCATGCCTAAATGGATTACTTTCTAGACTGTATAACTATTTCATTATTGAGGTTTATAACCAACAATTTGATAACTCAGAGAGAACAACTTGGACAGATACTGTAAGGCAAACATAGCTGTTTCAAACTCGCATAGTTTCAGACACCTTACCTTGATAATGTGCCTTACACTCAATAGCAGTTAGACAATAGACAATAGACAATAGACAATTAATCTTTATTTACACATTCATTAAGAATAGTAGTAGCGTCAATTTACAATTTTTTCTAAATGTGTGGTTGAGGTGTTGTTTAGTCAAAGACCTGTTGATGGTATTCTTCTAAGGAATAGAAAGGTCGATTAATGAGCCATTGATGCAAAGCTGGTTTGAGGTCATCTTCTGACTTGCTTCTTAGATCTGGAGGTAGCCTGTTGTAGATTTTCATTCCTGCGTATGAAGGTTTCTTTTCAAACTGTGCCGTGCAATGTTGTGGAAGGTTGTACTGCATGGTGTTTCTCAGGTTGTGTTGGTGCATTTTGCCACGCCTTGTAGGGTTATTTCTTACTGCAAATAACACAACTTCCTGGATGTAGAGTGCTACAAGGGTAAGTACTTTGAGTTACCTGAATGCTTCCCTGCAGCTGTCGAGTCTGTGGAGTCCTGCAGTTATTCTGACTGCCTTTTTTTGTTTTCTGAGAACTCTTTGCATGTTAGTGGCAGAGGTTCCACCCCATGCTACAAGTCCATATCTCATATGCGACTCGAAAAGTGCAAAGTATGCTACTTTTGTTGTCATGTCATCTGTTGCATTTTTTATATGTTTAAGAGCATAGATGGTTGAACTTAATTTTTTACATATATTGTCCACATGAGGGGTCCAGGTTAAATTCTTGTCGAGTGTGATGCCCAAAAACTTAGCTTCATCTTCCACTTCTACATCTGGGAGTCGTGGCACTTCTTGAGATTTACGGCCAAAAGCTATTTGAGTTGTTTTAGACGTGTTTACTGCGAGATCATTGTTATAGCAGTATTGGTAGGCCATACTGAGTGACACATAGGATTTTACTTCTAGATTTTCAGCTAGTGGTTCATTAAACACTAAGGTTGTGTCATCAGCATACATAAGAGTAAGGCAGGCGTCTCCTATTTGTTGCGGCAAATCGTTGGTAAAAAGAATAAACAGTACCGGACCCATAACTGACCCTTGGGGAACTCCTCGATTTATTGGTTGAAAATTTGATCTTGTTTTTCTTATTAGGCTGTTATCTCTGTGCCTTAGTTCTACAAACTGACTCCTGTCTGTAAGGTAGCTTTGAAACCATTCTCTTACTATCCCTGATACCCCCAGGGAATCCAGCTTTTTAATGATTAGCTGGTGGTCAAGGCAGTCAAATGCCTTACTGAAATCAAGAAAGATTCCTGTTGTTAGATTTCCTTCATCTAGGCTGTCAATCAGGGACTCAACCATCTGAATTATTGCTGTTGTTGTGGATTTCCCTTTTGTAAATCCATGTTGCAGGTTGTTTAGTAGGTTGTGATTTGTGCAGTGGTCTAAAAGTCTTTTTAAAACAACTTTTTCGTATATTTTGGAGAAGGTGGAAACGAGGGAAATTGGTCTGTAGTTGCTTGCTTCTAATGTGCTACCTTTTTTAAATTTCGGGTATACTTTAGTTATTTTAAGTAGTGAAGGAAAGATGCCTTGTTTTAGGGACTTATTTATCAAATCAGCCAATGGTAGTGCTAGTTCATTGCAGCAATGCTTAAGTATTTTTGACGAGATTTCATCAATTCCAGACGAGTTTTTTGCTTTAAGTTTGTTTATAATCATTTTAACTTCCTTCTCGTCTGTGCTTTGAAAGGAGGAAAACGGTGGACCTGTTTGAGTTACGTCAGGAGTTTGAGCTGTGGTCTTTAGGTGTTTTTGTTTCTCTACTGTTTTTTCTCCTACTTGTGTAAAAAATGTATTCAAATGCTCTGCAACATGGGTCACATTACTTATGAGTTGGCCATCTACTTGAAGGGTTATTTCATTTAGGGATGTTTCCTTTTTGGACCACACTGTGTTTATTGTTTCCCAGATAGCTTTAGATTTATTTTCAGCTTTCATCAACTGGTCAGAGTTAACCTTTTTCCGCATCGTTTTCAAGTACAGGTCATAGTTCTTTTTATTTTCAATAGAAACCCTTCTGTCATCTGGATTTCCCGTCACCTCAAACTTTCTTAGAGCTTTAAGAAATTCGGCTTTAAGTCTCACTGCTTCTGGGTCCATAGAGAATTTTAGTTTATGTTTTCTTTGTGTTTTTATCTTCTTTTGGGGGCAGGCTGCATCCATAGCTACTCTCACTATGTTACTAAAAGTTTTAAAAGCTTCTTCGGCATTGTTTATTGAGGTAACACTAAGCCAGTTTTCTTGACTGAGAAGATACTTGAGGTCTTGCAGGTTTTTATTTTTTAGGCAGCGTCCAATTTGGGCTGGATAACTTGAGTTGATGTGTGAGTTGAAGTTTACAGTACAGAGTTGAGCAGTATGATCCGAAAGTCCTGCATTGATGATTTCTGGAGTGAGTTGGTTTGTGTCCATATTTGTACATATCCAGTCAATGGAGGTTTGTGTTAGATTTGTTATTCTCGTAGGTGGAAGCTGTAGTCTCTGGATATTGTGCATAGCAAGAGTTTCATTTAAGATAATGTGTTTCCTGTTTGGGTTACACAAATCAACGTTAATATCTCCCATGATGATAAGAGGGGAATTTTCAATTTTTGTTTCCTCAATTAGTTCTGTAAAGGTGTTTAATGATTCCTCAAGGTCTCCGTTTGGGGGTCTGTAGGTTCCCAGTACAAACAGATTTGAGTTCTTGAATTTTATTTTTATAAGAGCTGCTTCAAATAACAGTTCTTTACAGTACTTGGAAACATCTATGGCTACTGTTCTGCTCTCAAGGCTTTCTTTTACAAGAATGCAAACACCTCCCTTTCTGTGTTCTATTCTACTATAGTGAGCCTTGAGGCAGAATCCAGTAGCTATGACGGTGCTACTTATTGTCTCAGGTTTCAGTCCATGTTCTGTCAGAATTACTATGTCAGGTTTGGTTTCTTCTAAAAGGTGCTGTAGTCTATTTATTTTATTTGAGACTTCCTGTGTATTTTGGTGCAGCAGGATGAGTTTGGAGTTTACATCCTGACTCGATTGTCTAAAAAACAGTCAGGTTGCGTTTCTCTTGTCACTGCTGATTTTTGCAGTTTTCTTAAAGTAAAATCAGGCTGCGTTGGAATAATCTGAGAAGGTGAGGCAAAAACAAAGTTATTATCCTGTAGCGATGCAGCCTCCCTTTTTACTAAATATCCATAATGCTTCTTCATATGTTCTGAATAAAATCCTATATTTTTTACAAAGAAATCATTGTAATCCTCGTCTTTGCTCTTTGGCTTAGCATTTAGGGGTGGAAGTTTATTTTTATTTTTGGTCTCTTTCAGGCTTTCTTGAGCTTTTACTGTTTGTGACACTTGTGACAGTTTTTGTGGCGGGGTTTGGCTGGTTCCCCCTGTTGATACTTGTTCCGTTAAGGTCTCAGATGACAGTTTTTTCGTAGGAGTTTGTCTGACTCTCCCTGTTGCAGTTTCTGTTGGCAGTTTTTTAGTAGGAGTTTGTCTGACTCTCCCTGTTGTAGTCTCGGTTGGCAGTTTTTTAGTAGGAGTTTGTCTGACTCTCCCTGTTGTAGTCTCGGTTGGCAGTTTTTTAGTAGGAGTTTGTCTGACTCTCCCGGTTGTTGTTTCAGTTTGCAGTTTTTTCGTTGGAGTTTGTCTGGCTCTCCACGTTGTGTTTTTGAAGGTTTTGCTGGTTATTTCTCGGCAGTCAGTAGCAAGTGTGTGATTTGTTTGTTCTAGGTATTTTGCATTTTGCAGGGATACGCTAAATATGTTAGTTCTGTTATGATTTCTTTGAGCCCTTTTATTTTTTAATGAACTGGTGTTGGAATGGAAGGATTTGTACGAGTTGTCGGAGAAATGGTGTTAGAAATCTCTTTGTTCATCTGCATTTTCAGGGTGTTGATGACGTGTTCCATTTGATTTTGTTTAATTTTAATTTGAACAAGTTCAGCTAAGAGGAAAGGACTGTGACCAGCTATACATTGATGGGTCTGGGCTACAGCAGGCTTTGTACTAACCAGATTTTCCTCTTTTTCATCCAGCTTAACTTCATTGTGTTTTTGTGTCAAATCTTTTATGTTCTGTTTAAGTTGTTGAGTTTCTTGTTCATATTTTTTTAATGTGTCTTCTTTTTCCTTGTCCAATTCTTCAAAGGTGTGCTCTAAGTCTCTGCGAAGCATCTTCTCATTGTCGAGCTGTTTATCAAGATTATTGATGGTTTCCACTAACGAGTTGTTTTTCATTAACAATCTTTCATTTTGGTCTAATAGTGTGTCTATTTTTTCTTCCCAAGCTGCTGCTTCATTTCCATTTTTTATTTTTGTTACTTGAAAAGACAGTTTGGCATTTTCGAGACTCAGCTTGTGTACATCCTCTCTAAGTTTATTGTTTTCTTCAAGGAGAGCATTTCCAACCTCCGCTGCAAGGTTAAGAGAACTTTCTAAATCATTCTCTTCTGTATCAAAATTCTGTACAATGTTTTGAAAATCGTCCATGGTAAGATTTAAATTGTTTAACATAGGTTCGGGCTTGTTAATTGAGGTATGAAGTTGAGTGATGCAGCTAAGCAAGGTGTCGTCTGAGGTTTGACTTTCAGAGCAATGCTTATCATCAGTTTTGCTTGATTTCCTTGCAAAAGCCATTTCTGCTTCTTTTAAAGCTGCATTAAAATATTTTTTTATTAAATAAATACAGTTACGCAGTTATACGTAAAGATAGTTTAGAATACATACAATACAACTAAAAATAACTTTTACGGGTGTAGTAAAGGATAATTATGAGAGTTTCTTTCACTACAACCACCTGACATTTTCAGAATCTTTCAATAAACCTTCCTGCAACTGTTAGTTAGCAATCATGAAGTTTACCCTAGGTTAAGAAAAAAATGTGTGAGTTTTCAACAGAAGTTGGCAGATCAACAATTATTGGATTGGTCATAACCAACTGAAAGGTTGGCGTTTGAAACATTACAATTTTACTCTGCTCTCTCCAACATCGAATGCCATTGGTCTAATACTGTACAGTGCTGTAATGTAATTATAGACATACCACGAACAAAACAACCTGCGCAGAAACAAAAAGATCACGTGGTTCGCGCCGGTAGGTGTGGCTTACCCTTCAGACCTGCGCGGCTCGAAACGGCCCAGGTTTCTTTTGTTTCTGGTATTACTATAAATACAGTAATGTGCTAAAGTGAATCTTTTTGATTTAAAAAAATGAATTAAAAAGGCTAGCTAGTTAAAAAAACGGTTGCAAATAAAATAATTTACTAACGTAATTAAAACAACATACAAACCAGTTGGTTTAAAGTAAGCTGCGTAAAAGGGTTGTTTTTAACCTGTGTACTTGTTACCGGTACTTATTTGTAACTGAAAATATAGATAGTAACAATAATATCATACATCCACTTACTTTAAGAACTTCCTGAGAGGATTTGCTCATGCTGATACAGAATACATCAGGACCTGCCATGCTGACCATGTACTTCAGGTGCTGAGTGTCTCCAACCTAAGAAACACAAGGTTAAAGTAGGCTAGCTGAGGTTTTGTGGATACGTTGAGAGTTATCATTATTACTTCAGTGGAGGCTGGAAATAAGATTTCCATCTATTCAAATTAATAACCATCCATAGGAGGGTTAAAGATTAAAGTTATTTAAGGTGAATTTATAGATTTGGAAATTTTTAAAAATAAGTAATGCTTTACTAAATTAATTATACATTTTATTAAATTTAACATCAAGTATAATTTATTCCTTCTTTGGCTGAATTGTATTTTGTAACTAATATTGTCATGATGATTTAGCACAATATAATCAGTGTTTAATGGTACAGGCAATGACTAAACTGATATGAACAGAATGACTGATAAGACTACAATCAGATACAGCCCTTCTCTGATAAGCATCTTACACACTTGCTGGCCATAGTTTACTTAGGCCTTCTTGATCACTCAATATTATCACGTCTGTTATTTCATTTTTATCCAGCAAAATTGTGTATACTAAATTCATTTATGACAAAAAGTAAAGTACCTAATAAATTATAAAATGAGTTTGCAAAATATTTGTGACTAATTCTAACTAGCAACCTGTGTCATTTTGTGACTTTACAATCCATGATAAATTTTATATACCTATAGTTGATAAGGATGAAAACGATTATGTCTAATCATATCCCTATTATTTGTATTGCGTGCGAGGTGCGAGATCTCTTTGAGGCATCCAAGAAAATTTACGAATACTAATGAACCAACTACAGATAACCCCATTTTTGTATGGATGTAAACAAAATTGTATCATTGCCATCTGTTTTGATGTAAACAAATGTAAACTTGAAAAAGTTCAGATGGTTGACAGCAGATTTCAGCACAAACTATGAAACTTTGAAACTTATTATAAAGAATTAAACTAGTATCTTTTCATGGAACAAAGCCTTGTATTAGCCTAGTTGAATAAACAAATAAGTCTTTTGTATCTTTTGTATTAAACTCGATAAAAGTAGCACACCACAGAGGACAACACACACCAGCCATCCGTCTGTCGACTGACAAACCCCTGCACGGCGATGATAGTACACACTGGTCGGCCCAAGGACGTGTATGTCTGTCTGCAAGCCAACACAATTAACACTAGGTGAGCAATTCAGCACAGACATCAATGCCTGGACGTTCCCTCTCTCCCATCCTTAGTGAACCTCCTCAACCTCTGCACCTATGAAACTCTCATTGTCCAACCCAAGGTCGATCACCAAATGATGAAATTTGCCAAAAATATGTTTTATTCCATTCATTAGGTGTAGGCTTAATAATACTCCTCGCTGATGGAGAACAGCAGCAAAGTCTTGTCACTAATGCTGGACTCATCCACACATTACATCATTAAAACCCTTCACACAAAGGTAGCCATGACTACTCGGTAGCTCGTGGCATGGGGAAATACAGTATTTACGAGAATCGGTGTGAGCTCACAGCCTCTGGAGGTCTCTGCGTGGACGTCTGTCATCTAACATATGTACGGCCAGTGTGTGTTGGTCTTAAGTTGAACGTAATTCTATCCATTGTAACTGACTTACCTTGATAGGCGTGCAAGGATACTCAGGGAAGGCAGCAGCCACTGCCTTTGCTCCTGCTTCATTTGTCCACTTAGATAAGCCCACGAAGAATTCTCTACCTGTTAACAGAATGTATTGTTGTGGTTTCAACAGTCTCAATTTGAAAAGAAAACTAAATGCAGACTGTACTACATTAACTCAAGTACTGTGACAAAACATTAGATGTTTTGCGAAAAAGGCTATGTAGTCTCGCTATGCACTTAATCCAAATAATTCAACAGTGGCATTTGAAGCTTGATTTTTTAAATAAATTTTACTTCAAAGTTTACTGTAATTTTTATAAATAAATTAGACTTAGATAGCAACAAAATATGAGCAGTACACTTCTAATTTTTTTTAAACATGAATAAATCATGCAATATGTCTTGCTACTCCAATGTTTGGCAGTTTGATTAATCTGAAGAGTAATCATTCATGAGTTTAAATTTAGTGTCGAATAGCTGTGATTTATTTTTAGTCATTAACAATCTAATCATCGCCAGAATAGTTATTCTATAGTTTATAAGACAATCTGTATTTTTATGTGTATGGACTTAGCATTAATGTAAATCTGGCCAAATAAATGACTTATGACTTAATAAGGAAATAGTTACTGCTGTCAGCCAATTTTTATAAGTTATTTTAAAACTTAAAGCTGTGATGCATTTTGCTAGTTTGTAAGTTACAGTTTGAGTTGGTTTGTACTTCAGTTAAACGAAAGAGCATTACTTTTTGTCATCTAGTTTCTTTCACAGTCAACTACTGTAATAATATTATAAGTGAGAAAGTTTGGATGTATGGATGAATGGATGAATGGATGTTTGTGACAAGTAAACACGAAAAATACTAAACCGAAAGGGTTAACATTTTGTATGATGATAGCTAACATACCCGATTAACAAATAGACTTATTCTTATCTTAAAAATCCTTTCGGGCTCCGCCCCAGTGGCTCTGGAGTTTCCTATGTTAACCTTATGAGTATTCATATAAATGGAAAGTATATAGGCCTAAAGCATATATATAAAGCAGAGTGTGTCCTCCTTAGTATCACTGCACCTAAACCATAGAAAAAAATAAAGTTCTCATTTTGTACCACAGCTTTTTGTTGCTAGTTGGTTCAAATTAGCTGTTATCATAAATGCAAAAAATAATAGTGCTGCACCCTATTGGTAAACCTTATAACTTTTTAACGCTATTTAATATCATAGAACTAACTTGTGCAGTTGAAACAGCTGGCAAAATTCTTTAATTAAGTCTGCTAAAAAGAGAAGTAATAGTAGATTGTGTGTAAAACAACAGATGTTACATCAGATTGAAGATTGTTCCTGTTGATCTGTGATTGTGATGCAGCAGGCACCTGATGACAGGAAGCTGATGTCACAATTGGGTGTCGTTGGCCTTTGACTCCACTCTTACTCAATTGCCTCAATCAAACGGACCGTTTCTGTTCAGATTCACTGTGGTTTACCCTGTCACTTCGTATGAACGATTGACAACAATAATTATGTTGTGATCATTTAAATTTGCTTCCTTTAATGTAAGAAATTGATACAATAAGATATTGTAAAGTGATAATTTTATAGTATGACAACTTAGTACCTATGAAAGATTTTTATAACTTCTAAAATGTATTATGTGGTCAGCAGAAAAATATCAGTCTCTTCCTCACTTTAACTTTAACTCTCTTTTAAACCTTTGAATATGTTACTAATTAACTCACATTAGGATAAATTTGCTACCAAAGTCATACTGAAATATTTAAACATGAAATAATACTTATAAATGTTTCCTACTTTTTGTCATGTTTGTTACTATAGATTATGGTTTCATGTTTCTATAGACCAACCATACAGTATTGGAATAAAAGAATATCGGTACTAATTTAATAAAATTTAATTTTAAAACACTATGATTTTATAATGGTGCCCTATTAAAAGTAGGCTCCCTCTAGAGTAGAATGCCGATTTTCGGAATGCCGGTAAAATGAAATCGCTGCCAAAGATGGTAAATTTAACCCTCCGAGTGTCCATAGTTTAGGCCTTAATGTCCACCTATTTTTGGCCCCTTTGCAAGGTTTTATTAAAACGGATCTGAGAAGCTTAAAACAATGTTAATTCTAATGTTCTATATACCATTTTGTTTGGAAAATCATGGGCTTCAATATTATATATAAAACATAAGGAACATTTTTTCAAAAAAAAAATTTTTAGGTAAAAAAAAAAATAATTTCGAAAATTAAAAAAAAAAAAATAAGTTCGCGCTCAATGAAATTGTATAAATTATAGGCCTATAAATATTTGAAAATAGCCACTTTGTTCTAAATTTAATGAGGATTACAAATATATAATCATATAGCGAGGTAAGTTATCAAATAAATAAGTTATGAGCGAAAAACGGATTTCAGTACATAGCCTTTAGCTAAGAATGCATAGCCTAACCATAGCTAGGAATCTGGCTGATAATTTACATCAATATCACTACCTACTTCTTCAGGATCATCAACCAGCCCTTCAAAATCACTTAAATCTTCTCATAATGCACCACGTATATCACTACTTTTGATTTTTAACACTAAAACAATGATAAACGTAATAAAACACATCAGTCATCGGTCCGGGGGAACCTAGCTGTTTACAAATACACGCATGTCAGCTGTCTGCTACAATATTTTCGGAACTAAAATGAATAGCGCTTAGAGACAGACCTCTGGAGAAAGCTTAGAATATTACGGAAAGAACGATACCTAACTCGATCCAGTTCAATCCGATTCAGTCAGTCATAGAGCCTTCGCCGTAAACGATGTTTGTGCGTCATAAAAGTGACGCGTGACCCTACACAAAGTGTGTTGTGCGTCATTTTTATGACGCGTGACACTCGGAGGGCTAAATTTACCACCACCCCAATATTACTAAAGCAGCCGACAGGAGTGCATGTGGCGCAATCTCACTTTGCAAGAATCTCAGCGAAAAGTGATCGTGTTGTAAAGTAGGTATCGTTGGTAAAGTAAGTATCGTATTGTCTCGGACTGTGCAGCTTTAGTTCTTGCTGGAACGCCGCCAATCGACCTTCTAATAAAGGAACGTACAGAAGTCTATAAAAAATAAAGCAGACTGCTTCAGAGTCGATAGCATGTCGTCAAAGGGATATTTTTTATACTAAAGTTAGTAGTAGTAAGTTAGTGGTTTGAAATAGGTAGGCCTAAGAATGAATTGAGTGACTATTTTATATATATATTATACTAGCAGAGTTCCCGTCCTACGTACAGGGTTGGCATATAAGTATAAAATGCTTATTGAAGTTGTTATACTCAAGGTTTGTGTTTGATATAGGGGAGGACACAGTTTGACAAAATTAAAAACAAACCTACCTGTAAACAACACATCACCACCGTCTAGCTTGGCATTTTCATCACTGATCTCAACAATGGGAAGGTCTAATTCTTTTTTTAGGACTGCTCTTATAGTTTCTACCTGTAAAAATAACAGCTATTATCATTATATAGCCTACTTTTATCATTATAATTATGATTTGGGATGGGGATTGGGGACACCACTCATGTGCGTATTTAAACCCAAGTATGAGTGAAGAATGAGTGTGGAATGGAGTAAAAGATGGTTTAGTTGGACTAATCAATAATGTTCAATATAAAAATGTTGCTAGGATAGGGAAAAACACAGAAAACATTACTACCCCACAGTTGCACAAAACTTGCAGACTAAGTGAATTTAAACATTGACTGATGAGATTTAACTAAAATATTTCCGATCTATTTTCTATTAAAATAACATGTCTTGAGGAATCCTCAGATAACTTAGTTTTATGAATATATTTCTAACCTTGATTATATTTGTTACCGATTACTATAGGCTATATGACTGGGTAAAAGACAATAATGATATAGGCCTAACAAAGGATTGTTTTAAGGATAATAAAAACAAACACAATAAATAATAATTTAAAAAATGGGCATGCATTTTTCAAATTGTTATTTATCAAGTTTTTAGCACTTTTTACAAAGTTCAAAAACAGTCTGGAGATAACATAAATCTACTAATCGATTCATTATAACCTAAACTTTAACTTCCCTAATCTAACCCACCTTCAAAGGACTTAGGTTATAGCCTACAGTCACAAATCCACACATACCTACCTACCTCACATGCCTTTTTCAACTTATAAAACAACTTATATGCGGTTCGAGAAGTTTAGTTGGGTTATGTTAGGTTAGAATAGTGTCAATTTGTTGTTTATTCATTCATGTCTGCATCATGGCGGGTGACGATACCATATTGCATTGTGGCTCTTGTAATTTAAAAGTTAATACAAGGGCAAAAGCCTTGAAATGTTCTGGGAAATGTGGGAAACCTTTCCATATTTCCTGTATTAATATATCTGATAGTGATTATAACAAGTTCAAAGACATTAGTGACTTCTCGCTTTGGTTTTGTGAAGGCTGTCGTTTGTGGTTAGACTCCATAAAGACATCGCCTACTGCTACAACTACAAACACAAACAAGGTTATTTATGATAGTTTGGCGCCTTCTGAGAAGCCTGTGTGTTGTGACTGTTTCGGATACATACAAATTTTGACAGAAGAATTGTCTAACTTGTCTGAAAATTATAAAATATTATCTCAAAATGTGTCATCTGTAGTACATCAGCAAGCTAAGTTTCATACTGTGTTGGACTCGCACACTGACATGTTGAGTGGTATTGCTCTATCGAAAGAATATGAAAATGACGATTTGGTACTGAACCAAGGAAAAATTAGCTATAGGAATGCTCTGGTAAGCAATGTAGACAAAGGACATGAATCTCCAGACTCAGGTAGGCCTAGGCTATCCAACATCCCTTCTACGGCTAAGCTTTCAGTAGAGGTAACACCGGCTCCTTCTGGTGGCTCAGATTCCAACAGTTCTGATGTATCAATTTCTACCGATGTTGGTCCAACCTATTCTATGGTAGTTAAAAACAGTAACTTTAAATCTCGTAACGCCAACCACAGAAATGATGTTGTGCGTAGAAGTTCTCAGTTGGATAATAGGCCTAGGCCTAGAGGGCAGCATGGTTATTCAGAGACTCGTTTTAAGCCGGAAAGTAAAAAGAAGCCCATTCTGGGATCAAAGTCCAGCGATAACCCAAATGTCAAAATCAAAGCTGCTTGTAAACGCACTTGGATTTTTGTGTCCCGACTTGATGTAAATGTGACTAAAGAAAATATGGAGGAGTATCTCAAGAGTTCAAACATAGCTGACTTTGTGTGTGTAGATGTTAAGCCTAAATTTGAAAGCTACAAGTCCTTCAAAATTGGTGTAAATGAAGAAACTGCCACCCAAATCTTAAGTCCTGAGTTTTGGGAGCAGGGAGTGCTGGTAAAGGAGTTCTTTCCTTCACGTAATCATTTTTTATCTCATCGGAATCCTGTACGGCATCGAAATTGAACTCATCGGTTCCTGACAATGTCTGTAAAACAGTGTTTACAAACAGTTCTAGTTACATAGGTGATGCTGGTTTGGAGCCTACTACGGATAACAAATTTACTGTAGTTCATTGGAACGTTCAAGGCATTGTTGAAAAAGTCGATGACCTGATCTACTTATCAAGAAAATTTAATGCTAATGTTATTGGCATTTGTGAACATTGGACTAGCAGAGACATTCTGGAAGACATAGTTATTCCTGGTTTTAAAGTAGCCAGTGCCTACCACCGACCTTCACCTGTGAGAGGAGGGACCTCTATCTTCATACAATCGGAGCTGGAGTGCGTTGAACTAGCCTACCTGGTGGAGCTTTCTACACCGCTGGTATGTGAAGTTTCAGCTGTTCTTATTTGTAATTTGAATGTTATTTGTTTAGAAATCTACAGAGTACCTGATGATAATAACTTTAATTCTTTCATTGAGTGTCTAAATATTGTTTTGAATACACTGTTTGAAAAAAATAAAACCAATGCACCTGTCATCATGTGTGGTGACTACAATATTGACATTTTGGTCAATGATGTCAAAAAGTATGTTTTTGAGAATCTATTAGCTAGTTTTAAGTTTTAACCTAAAAAATACAGTACATGAAGCTACTAGACCTAACCTAACTGGGGTAGGTATAGGCACTTGCATGGACAATATAACGGTTTCTATTCACTCTTCTCGAATTGTATCTGCTTTTGTTGAACACATGTTGGTATCAGATCATGACAGCGTTGTTTTTCAGTGCAAGTTTGAATCTACTTCTGTTCAAGACATTACAAAGCAGAATAAATACTCAAAAAATTTTAAAAAAGTTACAAGATCAATTGATGATATTAACAGTATTTATTTTGGGCTACTGCTTAGCAAAGTTAATTGGTTGGTATTATATTCTTTGTGTACTCTAGATGATAAGTTTGATTACTTTTTAAATGTATTCTTAGGAATAGTGGACACTGCATTTCCAATTAAAATTTGTACAATGTTAAATAGTAGGCCTAGGAAACCCAAATGGTATACTGAAGAATTGAGTTCACTCAAAAAACAGTGTCTGTTCATTTATGAATTATTCAAGAATACAGGAGAAGCATATTTGAAAGATTCTTACAAAAAGCTTAAAGCAAGGTATCAAAAAGAGGTTAGGTCAGCTAAGTTGTCTTATAATTGTGAAAGGGTCATCAAAGCCAAGGACAAACCTAAGGCAATTTGGTCTGTGGTTAAAGAGAGTTTAAATAAAAATGATTTACCTATAATTGTTAAGGAAAAAGATGATCTCTCTTGCGATGGTTTTAATGACTTTTTTATTAGTAATGTTAGTGCCATTGCTCATGATATACCTCAATCAAAACATACAATAGATTATTACCTAAACAAATTGTGTAACAATAAGTTGTATAATAGGCCAAGCAATGAGTCATCAAAGTTTTCATTTCAATGTGTGTCTGTTGAAAATGTGCACAATGCAATCAATTCTCTAAGTAGTAGTGAAAGTCTAGATGTATATAACCTCAACTCTCGTATTATGAAGCTCGCTTCACCTTTTATCGCTGAAGTATTATGTTATCTGTTAAATCTGTGTATTGTGTTTTCTGTCGTACCTCAATGTCTTAAACTTTCTAAGGTTATTCCATTGTTTAAAAAGGGCTCCAAATCTGATTATGCCAACTATCGTCCGATAACAATCGTACCAGTGATCTCAAAGGTTTTAGAAATAGTGCTAAACAAGCAGGTATTGTATTACTTTGAGGACAATTCATTGTTCACCCCCAAACAATATGGTTTTAGGCCCAAGCGTGGAACGAAAGACGCCATTGTTAATTTTATGAAAGAAAGTACTTTCAATGTAGACAGTAAGAAAAAGGTTATTAACAGCTTTTATGATATGTCCAAGGCCTTTGATACTATAAACCATGATGTTTTGGCTAGAAAACTTGAGTTCTACGGTTTTGATAATCAGTCAGTTAGGTTAGTTATGTCATACTTGTCAGACAGATATCAATATGTATTTTTTAATGGTAGTTCCTCTCAGTATTTAAAGGTTGACACAGGTGTTCCTCAAGGTTCAATTTTTGGTCCAACAATGTTTATAATATATGTTAATGATTTACCAGTAGCTTTAAGTAATGTTTGTGTATCGCCATACATGTACGCTGATGACCTTGCAGTTCAGATAAGTTGCTCAAATGATAATTTAGCGAATCAGATCCTCAATAATATCAACATGACTGTTGAGGACTGGACGGCTGCAAATTTTCTGTGTCTCAACAAGAAGAAAACTCAAATCCTCAAATTTAACCTAAGTTCTTGTTCTCACTACACACCTGAAGAGGTTAAATTTCTAGGTATAGTTCTGCAACCTAACATTAAATGGAATAATCATGTTGTCAGTGTGTGCAAAAAAGTGTGTAAAGGTATTTTTATGATTAGACGTCTCAGGTTGATTGTTGATTTTGATGTTCTGATGTCAATATACTTTGCTCACATTCAGAGTCACCTATCGTATGGAATTGTAGTGTGGGGATGTGACAGCAGCGTTAAAAAATTACTGATTTTGCAGAAGAAAGCTTTAAGAATCATTTGTAAAGTAAAAAGAAAAACTCACTGTAAACCTTTGTTTAGAAAACTTGGTGTGTTAACTGTACCTTCATTATACTTACTGGATTCTTTGTTGTACATTAAAGAAAATCTTAATAATATTCCTGCCAACAATTCAGTACATTCATACTTTACCAGACAGAGCCATTTTATCAGAATTCACCAATGTAATTATCAGACTACCATTAAATCTACTTTTGAATTAGGTAAGAAAATCTTTAATTTGCTGCCACATAATGTAAAATGCTTAGATGATAAGAAATTCAAAGTGCATTTGAAATCTCTTTTGATAGAATTAAGTGTCTATGATGTTGACGAATTTATCACTTATTTAAGGTGTCCAGTTTTGTAAATAGAAATTTATTGTAAAATATGACGATGCCATACGTATGTTTTGTATGTTTTACGGCAATAAATGATTTGATTTGATTTGATTTAATTAAAACTGCCACCACACTATTATCATAATGGGACATAACGGTTACATGGTCAAAACCTAAGCTAAGCCACTCGGTTAAGTGAAGAGAACAACGAAATGAATTCCTTCTTAATTTTTTAAAATCCAGTCAAGACCCAGATTAAATATGTCCGACCTTGAGGTGCTTATTAATGTTACAGTAGAACCCCGGTTAACCAAATTCGGGTTAACCGAATCCCGGGTTAATAGAAAAAGATTCCATAAAATAATACAGGGCTAAAGTATAAGTAATACCATTGACTATATATACCTACAGTAGGTATATATAGTCAATGGTAATACGTAATGTAAAATGCTTTAGTTAAAATGGATTTATAGTTTAAAGTATTTTCTAGCCCTTTGTAACATTTCTGTTGTAGCTGAAATAAAATACTGTACTATACAGACATCCATATAAAGCCCAAAGTACCCATGAACTTTTGAGAAAACTAGGGCCTACAAGTCACATCCCTATAAACTATATACTGTACTTAAAATGTTCGTCACGACGAGAAACCTTGCGCAAACTATCCATTATTTCATAAATTTCCCTTTAAGGTCGTAATTCCTTTCCAAAGGGAACTTTCCATATAACTAGTTTAAAAAAACCTCAGCTGTTTTTTTTTTATGTTAGGCCTATTCTTTCAATTTATTAAAATCAGGTGTGATTATTTGCTTGTATACTGTATCCTGTTTTTTAAAATTTCAGCTTAACCGATCAATAGTTTTATTAATATTTATGAAGTCAACCGGGGCAACAGCTAGTTGTTTTAAATTCATTTTTCCAACTCACCGCTCGTAATACATAGGCTATTTTTAGCATGCGACGGGTTAACCGACAAATTTGTTATCCGCAACGACTCTCCCCCCCCTTTATTTTGGTTAACCTGGGTTCTACATTACATTTTAATCAGATATTTCATAGCCTACTTAAATTAACGTACCGGTAAGTTATGTTACCTGTGTAAACTGTAAGTGTGGGTTGTGAGGGTAGGGAACTTAACTTATTTACTTTAAAATGACATAAGTTATAGCCTAATCAATCAATAAATGTGACTTCGGCTATTAACTTCAATTTTACAGTGTAAAAATTGAAGTGCAGATTCAATGTTCCTAATATAACATTAAAATGAAATTAAAACGATCGTAGTTTAAGTTACTGTAGGGCCTATTCAGTTTTTGTGACAGCAGAAACATTTTTGCACTGGTCATTGTTTTCAGGTAAAAATCTAAATAGTTTATAATGATATATAAATTAAGTTACTATGGTAGGCTACTCTTGGTCACCCTAGTCACAATAATTACCTAAGCCTAAGTTACATTAATCTAAGTATAGGTAGGGCGCTACTTAATCGATCTTGTGTATCTGTAAGATGGAACTCTTACAGTTCTGCAAGATGCCATTCTACAGCATAAGAGAATTTATGAACTGGCAGAATTTTGATTGTATTTGACAATTTATCTCATTTTAGCAAATTTCCCATATAGGGAATTTAAGCTATTACCGTAGGTCTCATGGTAAGACCTAGACCCGGGACCGATTTACTTTTTTGTTTTGAGGTCCCCAGAGGCCAAAAACACCATCCGTTCAAATTCATATATAGGTATAAATATTTATATATGTACCCGTTAGCGCGATAACTCGAGCAAAATTGATCCGATTTTGATGAAATTTGGTACAAACGTGTAAACCTACATTTATTCGAACGAGTTCGCGAACCAGCATAATCGGACCATGGGATCAGGGGTTTATGGGGGGTTTTATGGGGTAAAAATGGGTTTTTCTCATTTTTGACCCTAAAAACTTTAAATTTCTAAATTTCTCTCTAGACCATTTTCAAGAGCTTAAAAAAACAAATAATTTAGTATATTGAAGTTTTTTTGAATGTTCATTGACTACGGAGAAAATTAAAAAAATTGTAAATTTAAAATTCCCATGTTATTCTTATGGAGAATAAATAAACTGTTCTAGTTTGCTTGTTTATGGATATATTTTAATCAAATTTGGCAATTTGGCTTATTTCATACTAAGCTATCAATATTTCAATTGAAAAAAAACACACCTCAACATCTTCCCCGTAGCAGCAAACCTAACTACTCATTATTTATTAAAATTAATGTTAGGTAAAAACAAACTTTATGTCCTTTTCGACTAAACAAAGTAAACAGAAACTTGAACCCAAGTTGATCATTGATTCAGAATCAATAGAACAACTTTCTGAAGCCAAACTTTTAGGTCTCTATGTAGATGAACATCTTTCTAAGTTGGAATAAACACGTTGAAAAATTATTAAAAAAGCTTAATTCTGGAGTGTACGCATTGAAAAGAATGTCTTATTTGTATAACATCCTTATACTTGATTGAAGTGATAACCCAAACAATGAAACTGAACCCCACTAAACGATCAGAAACTCATAACTACAACACCAGGAAAAAACCCGATCTGAATCTACCGCAACACAGATTAGAAAAAACAGCAAAAACCCCAACATATAGAGGGATGAAACTTTACAATTTATTACCACATCGGCTAAAAGCTATTACAGACCCGAAAAAATTTGCTAACCAACTGAAAAACTATCTCCTTGAACGACCCTACTACAGTTTAAATGAATTCCTGGATGACCATACTTTTAACAGAAGACAATAAAAAACCAAGATACAACTAAGAAGATAAAGATAAAGAAAAAGATGACGCCTCCCCCAATCTTGATGACTGCGGAGGAGAAGAACAGCAGTAAGCAGTAAGTAAGTAAGTAAGCAGTAAGCTGGAATTCTAAAAAAAAACCAACTTTTGCTGGATCACTAATTCTAAGGAAATTACCTGCCTCTATAAAGGAGGAATCAAATTATAAATTATTTACAATGGAGGAACTCATTGAATAAATACCTATTCATACTTAAAATGTATTTATATCTTTAAGCTAGTTTAGTACTTTATACTTGACACTATTTTTGTACCCATGTACATGTAAGGAAAATAAAGATGTTTTGATTTGATTTGATTTTATTTAATTAGGAAATAAATCTGAAAATTTATAGGGAATATTTTAGTAGAAATCAAGCCGGGTAAATGGAAATTCGCTTAGTAAGCAGGTTTGCTGCGACGGGGGTATTTGTATTAACATTGTATTGATGCCTTTCAAATCTTTAAGATTTTGATTAAAGATTTTCTGTCTGTCTGTCTGTCTTGTGCACTTATTTTTGTTAATATTACTAGGCCCTAACTTAACTTACTGATAGAGATGTGGATGAGTAAACATGGAAATCAGTAGGCCTAACTTATTTAAAATCTATTCTTATTACCTAGGCCTAACTTAATGCACAAATTAATGTTCGAGGCTCTTCTCTGTGCATGTGCAAGACAAAACTAGGTACCCAGGTAGTCTAAAAAAATGACCCAGCATGCCGTCGTGGTGGACACTACAGCACGCCGCTGTAGTGCTGTGTGACTTGTGTCATTTGTTGAACGATTTTTTAAAGTTCATGCTTGGTGTGGCGTGGCCTTATAAACAACAATCACTTAGCCTACCAATGGGATTGTAACTTGGGCCTGAATCAAAATTCTGCCTTAATATTAGAGGTAAATTACAAAAAAAGGGGCAAAACATCTACTTACTTACTTACTTTCCGTGTCCGGAAGTAAGCTGAGTACAACCATGGAAGAAATGTAAATTATTTTCAAAATATTTAGGCCTAGTCAAGCGAATTGAATCTTTATTTTTAACCTAAAATAACACTTGGGATTTAGATCAATAGGTATGTGGGAAGAAAAGATTGTTTATGGGCCTGAATGTCAGACTTTTATTTCTAAGTGAACAACAGTAAGTAATCATACCTCTTTTAATCTGGCAGGATTTCCAGGTCTTGTAATCAATGCAATACCATTACAAACAACTGCAGTGTCCTCAACAAACACACACTCTGGTAAAGATTCGTCAGGTGGGAGTTCTATGACGTCCAATCCGATATTCCGAAGTAACCGCACATAATTTTCGTGCTGTCGCTTTGCTTCTTCAAAATTAATATCCTTAGATTTAAACGAATTTGGTATACGACTCACAACGGCATGAGTATACTTCAACGACGCCATTTTGAACAAGCAGATCGTTGATTTGGGCTGTCAAATTGACAGTTGACACTTCATTGACAAGTCCGCAAAATTAATTATCTGAAAAAAAAACTCCATAGAGTTAGCTGAGTTCTAAATGTTCTTATGTAATATCATGTATTACACTGTATTGCGATTTCTTATACAGAATAACAGAATGTCTGAATAAATATGCTAACCGACACAGTACAGTTAGTTGTTGTCATGGGGGACCTCGATATTAATTTAGCTTGTGATACAGTTCCAGCGCAAAAACTCATTACCTACATGGCATCCTTTGACTTTCAAAATATTATAACGTCATATACTAGAGAAGCACATGGATCTCGCAGTCTCATTGATCATGTGTTTACTGATAATAAGAGTGTTGATAGCTCAGTTATCATATCAGGACTCTCTGACCACAGTGCCCAAACTGCAACTTTTCATTTTAATAACATCATTCAAACCCCAAAAGCCCTATATAAATATGAGAGACTTTTTTCAAACTCAAATATAGAATCGTTCTCGTATCATCTATCTAAGGAAACTTGGGATGAAATATATAATGCAGCAGATTTGCAAACAAAGTTTGGAGATTTTTATCAAAAATTACCCACTTGTTCAAAAACTCTTTCCCAATTAAAAAAAAGAAAATAAATAAGAATAAACCTCGAAAAAAAGTCCATTCAAATGAAATAACAAAAGTCAAGGAACAGCTACTCGTTTTATATAACATGACAAAACATCTTGAATCCTCCCATTATTTGAGTCAAAATTACAGAAAAATGAAAACCCAGTATAGACGATTAATAAGGGAGAAAAAGTCTGAGGCAACACTTCAAAGAATAGAGGAGTCCGATAACAAAGCTAAAGCAATATGGGATATAATAAACCAGAGTAGACAGTCATCTAATATGAAACCCTCCGAAATAATTCTTTGAGAATGAAGACCATGAGCCGATCAGTGACCCCAAAGAAGTGTCCAACAAGCTAAATACATACTTTGCAGACATAGGGAAAAATTTTAACCCCCCCCCCCCCCAATAACTCTCCAAATTCACACATGATTAACCCCAGCTCCATGTTTCTATATCCAACAACTGAGGAGGAGATCTCTTAGATACGATCAAAAGCTTAAAAAACAAGAAATCGGCTGGTGTTGATGAGATATCACCCTTCTTATTAAAAAGGGTTGCAGCTTGCATAGCAAAGCCATTATGCCACTTAGTTAACGTTTCATTTTTAAATGGTTCATTTCCCGAAGCACTTAAGGTGTCTGTGTAATGATACCAATATTCAAAAAAGGGGACCCTAAACTTTGCAGTAGTTACAGGCCAATAACCGTTGTATCTGCCTTTTCTAAGGTACCGGTATTTGAAAAGATCATGCTGAACAAGATGTGGAATTTTCTAGAAAAACAAAATAATTTTCAAAAACCAACAAGGATTCTTAAAAGGTAAATCCACCACATCAGCAATGTATAACTTTATAACTGAGGTGATACGAGAACTAGACAAAGATAATTATTCGGCTGGTATCTTCTTCGATTTAAGTAAAGCCTTTGATATGGTTAATCATGGTTTGCTGCTTAATAGAATGTATGAAGTGGGGGTGAGAGGACTGGCTCTAGACTGGGTTGAAGCGTATCTTTGCGGCAGGAGCCAATTTGCTGAAATAAGGGCAATAGATGAGGCTGGTTGCATGAGATCCTATTCCTCTGCTGAGAAATACATTGTGAGAGGTGTACCACAGGGCTCCGTTCTGGGGCCTGTCCTTTTCCTCCTTTTCATCAACAACATCCCCTCCTGCACCACATCCTCAACATTATCACTATTTGCTGACGATACCTCCCTTTCCATATCTAGCTCCACTTTGTACAATCTGGAACAATTATCTTTTTCTGGAGCAAATAATTTAATTCAATGGTTTGACGACAACTTACTAAAAATTAACACTGAAAAAACTCAGCTTATAAATTTTCATTTAAATAAGAGACAAGATGTTGGGTTTAGTCTCCTCCTGGACGAGACTGAGGTCCACCCAACTGCAAATGTTGTTTAGGGTTGATCTTGGACGAGAGACTTAGTTTTTACAGCCATGCCAAACACATTTCAAGTAAACTCAGTTCTGGAATTTTTGTTTTACGCAATCTCAGAAACAATGAAAATCTCAATGTGCTGCTGACGGCTTATTTATGGTCTCATTTATCCTCATCTGGCATATGCTGTTGCAATTTGGGGATTTGAGAGCAAACAAACCAAATTTATTTCCAAAATCCAAAAGATGGCTGTGAGAACTATTTTATCCTTGCGTAAGCGCCAATCCTGCAGAGAGTACTTTTTCAATTCAAAAATCTTGACTTTTCCCTTCATATACATTCTAGAAACTTTGACCTTTTTGAAACAAAACTTTTCTGAATTTGACTTCTCTACTAAAAATCAATACACATTGCGCAATTCATTTAACTGGCCAATTCCTAAACACAAAACTTCTTTTTTTCAAAAAACACACATTGTACATTGGCATAACGCTTCTCAACTCACTTCCATTATCCCTTAAGTTGGAACCAAGCCTTTCAAAATTCAAAAAACAATTAAAACATAAATTGACTAAGTATAACCTGTTATAGCGTCCAAGAATTCCTGAAATGTTTTGAAAGCTCTAATTTGTAATTATTATTGTAAATATTAGAAAATATTAGTACAGTAATTGATGTATATAGTATAGTATATTTGTATTGACCTGGCTAATGCAAACTGTATAATTGTTAATTTGGCCCAATAAAATGATTTGATTTGATTTGATGTATATAGAAATGTAGAAATGTCTGTTACAGTGAATTAGAAGGGATAAAGCTGATAAGTATCTTCACAATGCTGGGTGGAATTTTGAAACGGTTATGGCATTTTTTTTATTTCCATAATCATTGAAATAGTAATAGAATTAATCAACCTACCACATAGTTGAGTAAAATATTTTATTTTATTTTAATTGTTTGGAAAAGCTGTCTGAAATTGTGAAATAAGAGTTTAGGAGTGCTGATTTTAGCGAATTTCCCTATAGGGAAGTAGCTATTACCGTAGGTCTCATGGTAAGACCTAAGCCCGGGACCGATTTACTTTTTCATTTTGATGTCCCCAGAGGCCAAAAACACCATTTGTTAAAATTTTTATATATCTATATATATATATATGTGTCCATCCGCACGATAACTTGAGTAATTTTTTCCGATTTTGATAAAATTTGGTTTGAAGGTGTAAGGCGGGATAAACTTGAATGAGTTCGCGAACCAGCATGATCGGACTATGGGAATGGGGGTTTATGGGGGGTTTTATGGGGTAAAAATATGTTTTTCCCATTTTTGACCCTAAAAACACAAAATTTCACAATTTCTTTTTAAACCATTTTGTAGAGCTTAAAAAAACAAATAATTTAGTATATTGAAGCGTTATTATGCGCCTAATTGATATGGAGAAAATTCAAACAAATTTTAATTTTAAAATTCCCATGTTATTCTTATGGAGAATAAGTCAACTGTTGTAGTTTGCTTGTTTATGAACATATTTTGATCGATTTTGGAAAATACTTTTATTTCTTACTAAACTATTATCATTTTATAAAAACAATCTTTTTTACCCTCCCTGTTGCAGCAAACCTAAGTACTCGTTAAACTAATTATAATTAACCCTTTCAGTGCTAGGCCAATAATTCATATTTTGTAAGACTTTTTTGTTTGCCTTTTAATTCCATTACCCGTTGTTGAATTTTAACTGTCATGTTGTCACTATTTTATTAATTAGGCTAATTTTGAATAATAACACAATAAGAAAATATATAAGAAAGATAAATCCCGGTATTTGTAGTAAACATCAAATAAAACTTAGTTTTTGTTGTAATTTTCCTGGTTTTCCTATACATTTTTATGTTCTGATAGCATTATTTGAAACCGAAATTTCACAAAATCAAAAGACATATAGTTTACAATGTAATATTGAATTTAACCCTGATTTAGTTGGACGAGGTTATTGTAATATAGAAATTTTAGAGAAACTAATGTTTTGCAGCAACGTCTCAGGAACACATTTACTACTACTAAAACTAAAAGATTGCATCTAAATAGTCCGTGACTAGCTGGTGCTGCTACCTAGTAACGCATTGAACAACCATCTGCAGCGCCATCTGTTCGCAATCGGTGGCGACAGCTTAAATACCGGGTTTTGACTCCCCAGTCTTCAAGCACTGATAGCCGAGAAGGCTAGGGCGTGTGTCACTTGGCCAGTGGCATTCGTCTGCTCGGGTTCGAATCCCGTCCTGTGTGGCAAATAATTGGTGACCTGTGTTTTTGTAGCGATATACTACAACCACTGGGGCATAGTGAGGTGTTCATAATCCTTGGTTTAGACATACACCTCGAAATCATCGGATTGGGCGAATCTTTTAGCTAAGTGGTTAGTAGTGTATCCTATGAACATGCAGGTCACCAACGGCCGTTTTGCTATTTTTTTTTTAAATAACCTTCCAAAGCTTATTTTTTTTTTTAAATAACCAAAAGATGGATGTGAGAACTATTTTATCCTTGCGTAAGCGTCAATCCTGCAGAGAGTACTTTTTCAATTAAAAAATCTTGACTTTTCCCTTCATATACATTCTAGAAACTTTGACCTTTTTGAAACAAAACTTTTCTGAATTTGACTTCTCTACTAAAAATCAATACACATTGCGCAATTCATTTAACTGGCCAATTCCTAAACACAAAACTTCTTTTTTTCAAAAAACACACATTGTACATTGGCATAACGCTTCTCAACTCACTTCCATTATCCCTTAAGTTGGAACCAAGCCTTTAACCAAGCCTTAAGCTGAGTTCTAAATGTTCTTATGTAATATCATGTATTACACTGTATTACGATTTCTTATACAGAATAACAGAATGTCTGAATAAATATGCTAACCGACACAGTACAGTTGTTGTCATGGGAGACCTCAATATTAATTTAGCT